GATCAGGGATCCCTTTACCTAGATAGTTAAGAGTTTAGGCACCTGGGTGCCCCGCACCACTTGCACCCCCGGGTAAAGACAGCCCTGTCCTCAAGCATCCCTGGGGACAGTCATATAGAGACATCCAGGCTTCTGCAACTTCCTTCTGCACATGGATCAGTTCATGTCCCAAATGTGCTTTCTGCCATCACCATCCAGCCCATCCGCTGTCAAAAACTATTCAGAAAATGCCAGGTGTCCTTGTGAATGGCTGGTGGAATCCAAGTTCAACTAGAAGAGTCCTCTATTCTTGTGTCTTCCAGGTTAGCATCTGGGATAGTTCTAGAGGCCAAATCTCACCCTCCTTCTAAATCAATGTCACCCTCATAAACACTAATACTTTAATTTTATAATCAATTGGCCAGGCACTACATCTGAGAAGGCTCAGTCAGTTTTCTTCCGTTTGGTGGAATCTCTCACCCACCAAAACACATCCCCATTTTCAAATAAAATGATGCAAGGGAAATGCCGCGATACTCTTGGCTGACCACATGCATATTGACATATAAATACAAGTTTCTCCCTAGGTAATTAATTCAATGACCCTTATCACAGAACGATTAAAGTGGGGCAGTAATTTACCCTGTACAGTATAAGACCTCAGGGGACCATTGTGGCTAATTAAGGAACTTTGAGTCTTACAAGATACGATATTACAGAGATTAAGTTCGCTGATGCAGAGATCAAAAGAGGCTGTCAGATGAACAATTGCTGCCAGTGCGTAAAATGCCCCCCCTTTTCTCTCTTTGTTCCCCAAACTCTTTGAAAAGCACATTCCCAGACACTTCATTTTTTATTTTTTTTTGCAGAGTCCTACCCTAATTTGTGCTTTCTTTTCCTGACCACATTTCAGCCGCTATCTATCAGCTGCTAATTTTTTAGTCTTGAGACGTAACACTGTCAGCAACGGCTGTGGTTACCCTCTGGCTGGATGGCAGATCCTGAGTAATCTGGGGCTGTCAAATGGGGGGATGGGACCCTTGAATGGTGAGAAGGGGAAAGAAGGAAATGTATGCAGGCAACCTGCGTGCCCCCCCCCCCAATTGCATGCTTAATAAATGTTTAAAATTTGGTTGAAACACTCCGTCAGTTATGTTGTAACTCCATTGTAAAGATGCAACACCAGATGGCGCTGTAGAGCAAAAAACTTTGTCACTGTGATTTTACATAGGTTTTTTCCCCTTTTGTTATAACGATCTAATTCATGAGTTATTTATAGTGGTTTTTTCCTGTCTGTAGATCCAGCCCAGGTCAGGTCAGCTCTGGATTGTTCCGGGTTGGATCAGACCTAGAATCAGATCAAGAGGTGGGGGCATGTACAGTCCTTCTTGCTCCTATTGTGGAATCAACAATGCTTAATAAAGTATTTAGAACAGTAGCTAGCTGTCTGGCTCTTCCAGTGTACTTACTGTAGCATCTACTTTTGGCACACTCCTGCAAGCACCTGAAAGGTAATATTAGTGTGGATATGCCCCAGACTGGATCGTAGTATATCTGAAGGAATGTCTCTACCCCCATCGTTCTGAGAGTCTTCTAGCAGTTCACTCACTGTGAGAAGTGAAGTTACAGGGAACCAGGCAGAGGGCCTTCTCAGTAGTGGCACCCTCCCTGTGGAACGCCCTCCCATCAGATGTCAAGGAGATAAAGAACTACACAACTTTTAGAAGACCTCCAAAGGCAGTCCTGTATCAGGAATTTTTAAATGTTTGATGTTTTATTATGTTTTTATATGCGCTAGAAGCTGCCCAGAGTGGCTGGGGGAACCCAGCCAGATGGGCAGGGTATAAATAATAATAAAAACATTATCCATTTGCCTTGAGGGACAGTGGAATGTACCTCTGGGGGTGAAGTTAAACCACTGCATTAGCAGCACCAAAGTGACCTCTCTGGGACACATGCCTAGGCAGTGTGTATGGAAGTCCTGGGCTGCCCAGACGACAAGACTATATTCTTGCCTCAGCCTCAATGCTGTGGTCCAATGGAAAGCAGAACAATACATTTGGCACCAGCTTGGCTGCAGGAGTTGGCAGAAGGTGGCGTACAAGGTGTCTTATGGACTCCACTCCAGACTTGTGTACGGTTTACTCCTTAGCCTTTTCCTCTACTGAAGATGTCTTGCAAGGCAGTGGAGGTTTCAGTCAGTGTTTTCCTTCTTCTATGTGGCCCACCTTCCCAGGTTGATGAGCCTCATCTGCTCCTCACTTCCCTTTACAGCATGTGCAGAAACCACTTTCTTGATCATTGGACCCACTATTGGTCTCATTGACTCAATCCACCAAAGCCTGTCCTCGTACGGCAGAGGAAGTCCCTAACTCGCCAAGGGTTTGAGACTCATCGGCTATCCTTACCTGGTTTAGCCAACCAATCAAAGCCATTTCTGGGCTGTGGCCGCTGTCACATGCTGACAGTTTCTAGGAACCACAGGTGAGAACTGAATGCAAGGTGCGGACCAAAGGTGGACAGACTACCCCAGAAGGAGCATGATATGTCCCCCACCAGAGGTACTACCGATCCCCTAACACCCTCCACACCCCTTAGTGATGATAGCTGTGCATAATCGACTCATGTTCAGCTGGATCTGTCATGCACAGGCTCTCTCCCTGTGGCCACTGAAGTGTAGGTGGGTTCCCATGAGGCAAGATGCAGTGATACAGCAAGAACCTTTATTGAACTACATAACTGGGAAACAGGGGCAAAGCAACTGCTTATATACATTCCTGAAAGCCTGGGCCACTCCCACTCCCAACATGATTGGTTGTCTAAACTTCCAAGCTGCGAATCACGACTCAGAGTTCAAGGGCCAATGGCAGAGGCTCAAATCCTGAAATGTTCTGTGACTGGACATCATGTATCGAATCAGAACACAGGAGCTCAGAATCCTTAGTCCAGACTCAAGCTCAGGCAAACACAGACCACTGAATACATAACAGCCACCCCACTGCCAAGTACAGATGTGACTTGAAGCCTGCACTCAAAGCCTATCAGTCAGTAGAAGAGCCTGTTAATCAATCCTGGCTTCTCCTTCCTGTTTTGTGGATGTGCCCAACATGGAAACCGACTGTGAGGAATATAAGCAATTGCGATGCAATTAATCCCACTCAATTGCATCGTTTTTAGATGTTAACATAGTCTGCCTCTCTTATTAGGCAAAACGTCGCTAAGTAAAATTCCAGTCACACATAATAAGCCTCCTCTCCTTCTCCCACCAAGGCTGCAAATGTACTTTTAATCATACAGTCGGTGCTAAAATCCTTGTGAGTCATCAAGAGTTCTGAACATTGAGCTCCGATAACATCAGACATTGTGTTCTGAGCAATTCTGTTCTAATTTATTATTAACACACTACTAGAAAATGCCTTTGAAGCTCCAGAGCAGTAAATCATGCCAAACGCACCAAATAGCAGCGACCACAGCAAATAAATTACAGTTTCCAAGTTCCAAAATATTCATCATGGTGCTGTGGGAAGAACGAGGGAATAATTGCATTACAGAGCCACCCAGAACCCTTGGAATTCGTATCGTCAGCCACATGGTTTATATAGATTTGTTTTATTCTCGGCTGAGCACAAGAACACCCAGGTGAACATTCTTGATCAGCTGTGCCCATCATTTGTAAATTTAAAAATGTAAAAAAAAAAAACCACCTATATGAGAATAAGTATACTTGTGAGAATGAAGAAACCAGAAAATGTTTACCATATTTTTGAAGGTGATGGTTTTTTAAGTGGTTGATGCTGGGATAAAGTGGTTCTCCGCCCTTCCCCCTTTAGTGCCACAAAATAACATTCCAGAACGAAAATGACATTTTGACACTTGTTGGACTAGAGAGGAACTGAACTTAGAGGGACCAAAATGGACCTATTCACCCAGTCCTATGCTTAATAGGAGCAAGTCCCATGGAATGCAATTGGTCTTACTTCTGAGGAGACATGTATAGGATTGAACTGCTGATCTCTATGCCCCGGATGCTCCAGGGGTATCAGGGTTCCATTATTAGTATTACTGTATTAGTAATAGTAAAAATAGGGACGCGGGTGGCGCTGTGGGTAAAACCTCAGCGCCTAGGACTTGCCGATCGCATGGTCGGCGGTTCGAATCCCCGCAGCGGGGTGCGCTCCCGTCGTTCGGTCCCAGCACCTGCCAACCTAGCAGTTCGAAAGCACCCCTGGGTGCAAGCAGATAAATAGGGACCGCTTACCAGCGGGAAGGTAAACGGCGTTCCGTGTGCTGCGCTGGCTCACCAGATGCAGCTTGTCATGCTGGCCACGTGACCCGGAAGTGTCTGCGGACAGCGCTGGCTCCCGGCCTCTAGAGTGAGATGAGCGCACAACCCTAGAGTCTGGCAAGACTGGCCTGTACGGGCAGGGGTACCTTTACCTTTACCTATTAGTAATAATAGCATTTCTACTATTATAGACTCCCTCCCTCTGTGGCTCAAATCATATTACCTGCACGCAGAGGTCAGGGTTTGAGTGGCAACATTAATTAAGGCGGTTATTGCTCTTTTTGTAGTCTGTGGAATAGACACTTGCACTAGCAACTTTCTGATTATTTTTTCCAATCACATTATGCACTTGCATGTCTATACCCAGTAACCTGGCTCCATATAGAAATATCTGCTCTGCAAATCTTCAGAGCAGAATCAATTATCCTTTTAACAGTTTTTTTTTCAAGGAATAGTGTAGCCATTAAATTAGAGCTGGGGAGTTCTAGTCACAAATCCTCACGCAGCTTTTAAACTTGTTGGGTGATAGCCAGTCACCAGCTCTCATTCTAACCTACCTTACAGGGGTGTTGTGCAGTCATAAAGGGAGGGATCTTTGCTGCCTTGGCCTTCTGAGAAGGAAGGGCCGGATATAAATGCAATACCAAACAAATCCAGAATGAGTTCCTCCAACAGCCTGTTTTATTTTCATGATTCTTTGATAGTGTAGTAATGTATCAAAAACATTCTCAACTCCTGGAACAGAATGTGCCTTTTTTCTTTTTTACAACAGACACTCCCTTGTTTAGGAAGGAAATTCTGAATGAGCATAATGAGTTGTACATCCTGATTGGTTTTCAGCTTCAAGATCTCCCCCACCCCCTCCTGATTCTATTGCTTGCAAGGATCTGATTTGATAGGTGAAGAACAGTGAGGGCATTAGGACCAAGAAAAAGACACACACACACACACACACACACACACACACACACTGCTCTGTTATGTCTGGCAAAGTGTGTACTTATGTGTGAAACTGAGCCCCAGTAGTTTGCATCAAGTGATCTCGAAGCATCAGAGGAGAGGAAGACAGAACTGTCAACTCTGCTTTCAACAGAAAGTCCTTTTCCTCTGCATCTCTGACAACATTTGGAATTTATTTCTGCTGTTGCAGCCAACCTGTGGAAGAAAACCATCAAGACAATTTGGAGTTGTTGTTTTTTTCCTCCTCTTTCAGAATTAGAAGGAAATAGTTCAACTTTTAAAATACTTTTTAATGGACTTTTTGGCCGACTCGTCGCATTTTCCCCACAAACAGAAACAAAACTGGAACTCTGTACAATGACAAGAGATCATTCTTTTGCTCAGCGAATCCATCTAATCTGTGAGGTCTCCTTCCCAAGTAAATATAGCCATTTGAAGAGCTAGGATTTTATTTGCAAGTAAAGGAATGAAGCATCAGCGGTAATATCCAAGGCTGGTCCCCCAAGGGGTTGCAATGAAAGCAGACAACAGCTTCACGAGGCATGTGTGACTGGCTTTTAACATGACAATCTGTGTGACTTTGCTACTGAAACTATGTACCCAAGGACAAGGTGCAGGTATGGGCCACAGAAACTGCAGTTCCTCTTGCTGGTGCTGGTGCTGGCCTTTTTGCTGATGATGGTAACAATGCTGAACCCATCCGTCAAAGATCTGAACAAGGAGAGGATACCCCAGCCTGCAAGGTCTGTCCCTAAAGAAGGATACCGTGTGGATTTCGGAGAAATTCAAGAGATCTTAGATGCTCAGGAGGACAGCCAGCAGCATTTGCCCCTGGAGGGGCTGTCGCCTTTCATCTCCCTAAAGGAGGATGAGCTCTTGGTGGCTGTAGGGTCACTCACAGCCAAGAGAAACCACAGCAGAACCAGGAAAGGATACCGAATGGTCGGGCAGCAAAGCAGAAGGCAAGAGGGGAGCAAACAGGTGCGAGGACCCGAGTTCCTGCTGAAGTCTCTTCCTCTGCCGGGTGGAGAACGGACTGAGGCAAGTGAGCTGGCAATAGGTGGCCTGGAAACTTATGGGTTTAATGAAGCGCTCAGCAAACACATCCCTCTGCACAGGGAGCTACCTGAGGTACGGCATTCTTTGTAAGTAAAGCTTCCTAATTAACCTTGACCTTTCCAGTTCTCAAGAAACAAAAATTCTTTTGCCCCTCTCTGGAATGCAGATCTCTTTTATCTCAGCGTGAGATAAAAACAGAGCACTCTCTCTCGCTCTGTGTGTGTGTGTGTGTGTCTGTGTCTGTGTGTGTTTGCTTAATAATAATAATTTATTATTTATACCCCGCCCACTCTGGGAGGCTCCCAACAGAATATAAAAAAATAAGATAAAACATCAAACATTAAAAACATTCCCTAGATTAGAATGGGGGTTGTGGCAGCAAGTGTCACCCAGAATGAACAATATAAAACTTGGAAGGAAACAGCAGGCATTTTGTCACATCATCCATAACAAGCAAAAACAAATTTAAGAGCAACTGTGGAATGTAATTCATTGATACACTGTGATGTTTCTATTTTTTATTCTCTTTTCTGACCCTTACATAATACTGGCAAATCTTATTGCTTCTGATATGTCACCTTGGATATACCAATTCAGACACAAAGGAATGAGCAACACACTGTTTGGGGAAAGTTAAAAAATTCACCACAGCTGCTTCTGTTCCACTTTCTTTAGCAATTGAAGGAATGGTACTCCTTCAACCAGGTGCATAACAAGTTTTAAATCTGAGTGTGCAGTTTCGATGTTTAATAAGGTGGGTGGTGGCCTCTACTGGGAAATGTGGGAATGGCAGAACATTTGAAGAAAAACGCTTTTTTTAATAGCAGGTGCATAATTTCAGGGGTAATTCTTTCTTGCCTGTAGCAACCTGTAACTATAGATCTGAGTGGCCAAGGTGTATGCTCATGATATCCACCTCATATAGAAGATGAAATGAGTTTATTCTAGTACTAAATGACACTTGTACAGGAAGTACACTGAGATACTGTTTAAACAGCTTATAATCCGGTTTTACAATGTATTTAATTCCCCCGCAGGAATCCTTGGCTTATAAGCAATACGGCTACTTAGTAAACGTATTATGCAAAACAGTAGAAGGATTGTATGCACCATATATAATCCTTATTAAGTTCTGTAATGCCACAATTAAGGATTTCATGGTGGAACTGGCACAATATGTGAAAGTCAGGAAAACAAAACAGATAAACTGATACCTTTTAAGAACCATTTCATGCAAACTTTTAAGTTGCAAGAACACTGTCAGAGAAAACTCAAATGGGAAGAAACCAAGAAGCCCAGATTCCCCAAACCACTGATACCTGTAACGGTCATACAATATTTTTGAAAAGGTTTCTCTTCTAAGTTATCTCAAAATGTGATACCTTTGACTGCTGTATCAACTATATTCTACAGTACCAAATTACCGAAGGCTTTTCACCAAAGCCAGACTAAACGTCTTTCCTTCTGCAGTGTTGAGAGGAGTTCCCTACCAGGACAGACTTTGCTCGTGTGCTCAAGACATTGATTCCATAAAACATATTTTGTTGCACTGTGCAAAATATGAGCAAGCTAGGGCTGAACTGATATTACCCTTGCTGGTACCTTTCCTGGGAAAATCAGAGGCTCACTATGTCAGGTTCCTATTGGAAGACCGGACAAATGCTAGAACATTAGCAGTGGCCAAGTTTTTATTGGTGGTTGCAAGAACCAATGATCCCTATATTCTGAACGAAATGCTTGTTTAACCTGGAGGTAGGCTGTATGAATTGTGTATTGCTTTGTAACGATTTGTTGGGTCTCTGGACCGTAATAAAGGTTGATGATGATATTCTATAGTGTTTTCAGTAACTGAAAGAAGGATGGCAAAATGCAAGACCATCCCTAACATTAGGTAAGAAGCAGCAGATTGTGGGTTTTATCAGCTCTACTGCTGCATCAGAGTATACATGCACATGGCCATGTACCTTCCATGAGTTCTCACAGGTTGTCCTGAGTCATACTAGCCAATTTTCACATCACAGGGCTAAAGCAGAGCCACAAGAGGATCTCCACCCATGAAATCTTATTTTAATAAGGTGATTCTGTATTGTCCTAAATGAAAGAGGATAAGCTTTGATTTTTTCAGGAAATTGAAAACAGTCACTTGTTTTAATTAAAGCAATATATAACTTGCTGTTCGGCATCCATTCACTCACAAGGCAGGTGAATAATGGCAGCATTATAGCTGTCTTTGCATTACATATGGCATTGGATTCTAAAGATTTAATTATGCAGATGCAGGCAATTTCTGCTTGGCTAGCACATTCTGGGGTCAGCACTGATGCCTGAAACAAAACCCCCCCACACACTTCCGGTTTAGCACAGTTGTTCCAGGGCATGTATAGAGTTACAGCTAAACCAAAAGACCACTGATTTTAGGTCTGTTTGGAGTAATTTTATATTGCTAAGAATCTGAGCCTGTGCAGATTCTTTATGCAACAATTTGGATGTATCAATATTTGTTTTTGTGTCTGTCTGAAGAAAGTTCTGTTAGTGAAGCTTTGAAACCATATTTTGGTCTGTACATATCCAGGAGGAGTCCGTTTTTATTCATCCTGTTGCTTCAAGCTGTGCAATATTAATATACGCAATAGGGTCCCCAGATGTTGTTGGACTACAACTCCCATCATCCCTAGCTAGCAGGACCAGTGGTCAGGGATGATGGGAGTTGTGCTCTACAGGGTTGGTGAAGTAGAATCTGGAGATTAGCTATGGAGGAAAAATTGATAGAACACAATAGACTGGCTAGAGGGGTCAAAACTTGGAAACTTGGTATATCTTCATGGATTTTATTAATAAACAAGATATTAACTGACTTCCTCTGATTTTGCCAAGACCCCTGTTGTCAGACCTAATTCCTAAGCATTACTTGGCTTGATAACAACATAACCTATGTCTGCTTTATTTTACCTTGCATTGTGCATACTGTCTCAGTTGTGAGAGTTTATGAAACTGGATGTCCTACTGAAAGATTGAAGTACTGAAATTTTTAGTTAATAAAATATGTGTATGTATAAGGTAAGATAGCCAGGCACAAGCCTGGTTCCATGTAATTTGTAGGGCTGTACTTAACAGTGAATTTAAAATAATAATAGTAATTTTCAGTGTTTACATTTTGTCCTTTACACAGGTGCTTGAAGCAAGAAGCCAGCCTCAGTCGGCCTACAGCAAGTGTCATTATCTGCTTCCGTGATGAAGCCTGGTCTACTCTCTTGAGAACAGTGCACAGTGTCTTGGATACAGCCCCGAAGGACTTTCTCAAAGAAATCATCCTTGTAGATGACCTGAGTGAGCAAGGTAGATCCTCTTTTCGCTCCCACAGCCAGACTGTTCCTAACAGATGTCTGCAGAACACGGTATTAACAGGGTCATGTTCAGTGGCGTAGCGTGGGGGGTGCAGGGGGGGCTGGCCGCACCGGGCGCAACATCTGGGGGGCGCGCGCTTGCACTCACAGCTCTCTGCCCCTACCTGGCTCATTCAGGGTTAGGGGGCGCAAATTACTTGCCTTGCCCCGGGTGCTGACAACCCACGCTACGCCACTGATCATGTTGGATAAACAGAGGAATGGTTTGGTGTGTTCAGTACTTTAAAATTCACATTGGCTTCTTTTACTTATTTCATTTAATTGTAGTGTCCATGGACCCCCACTCCAAGAAGAATTTGGATATTCTGTGCAGAGTAGCACTGCTTGGGTGATGGGCCTCGTGTGGTTCTTGGTGCCTTGACAAATGTCCAACCTTCCCACCCTTTGAAGCTTCCATTTTATTTCTTCAGTGAAGGCAGTTCAAACTCTCAGTTGCATATCATTTATTTTGAATAGTGATTTGTTGCTAACAGTGAGGTACAGGCATGTGTGGTGTAGGGAGCCGGTGTGGTGTAGTGGTTAAGAGCAGTGGACTCGTAATCTGGTGAACCGGGTTCGATTCCCCGCTGCTCCACATGCAGCTGCTGGGTGACCTTGGGCAAGTCACACTTCTCTGAAGTCTCTCAGCCTAACTCACCTCACAGAGTGTTTGTTGTGGGGGAGGAAGGGAAAGAAGAATGTTAGCCGCTTTGAGACTCCTTAGGGTAGTGATAAAGCGGGATATCAAATCCAAATCCATGTATGAATTAGTCCAACAACCAAGGAAACAATATAGAAATTGGTAAGACAGACAGGTAGATAAACAGGCAGACCGGCAGGCCTAGATATTAAATAAAGCTCTTCTTTGCTTTGTTTTCTTCTGACTCTGTAGATTTCTGGGTCAGAGAGAAAAAAAGAAAAGCTAGCCTCTGGAAACATTTGCAAGCTTGGTTCTTAGAGAGAGGTCTACAAACTCTGAACTAAAATTCAAACCATTGCTATTTCAATGGCAGGATTTCTGAAGTCATCCCTGAGTGACTACATCTCTAAGCTGGCAGGTGTGAAATTGATTCGGAGCAACAAAAGGCTGGGGGTCGCCCGAGGCCGCATGCTTGGTGCTGCCCGAGCCACGGGGGACGTTGTGGTCTTCATGGACTCCCACTGCGAGTGTCACAGAGGTTGGCTGGAGCCTCTCTTGGACAGACTAGCCAGTGACAGGTAAATGACTGCATCTCTCCTCCTGTTGTCTTGGTCCATTGTTAGGGGACAATGGTTGCAGCCTACAGGGTTGCCGTGGCAGAATGACTGATGCTGATCATAAAGCTCAGGTTTTCATAAGCTACTGACAAATACCCAAACCAACATTGACAGCGGTTGACCTGTGGGTGGAACTAGGCATTGTCTTGGTAAACATGCATTTCCCAACCACCATTTACTGAGATAACAGGAGTGCAGAAGCATGGGGCATGAAGCACACACTCCCCAACATTTCTCCGATAGAAATAGGGACATCCTGTTCCATAATAATAATAACTTTTTTATTATTATTTATACCCCGCCCATCTGACTGGGTTGCCCCAGCCACTCTGAGTGGCTTCCAACCTCTATGAAAACATTATAGTTTTATAGTGGTACCTCGGGTTACAGACGCTTCAGGTTACAGACGCTTCAGGTTACAGACTCCGCTAACCCAGAAATAGTGCTTCAGGTTAAGAATTTTCCTTAAGGATGAGAACAGAAATCGTGCTGCGGCGGCACGGCGGCAGTGGGAGGCCCCATTAGCTAAAGTGGTGCTTCAGGTTAAGAACAGTTTCAGGTTAAGAACGGACCTCCGGAACGAATTAAGTACTTAACCCGAGGTACCACTGTACAGGGCTGCCTTCAGATATCTTCTAAAGGTTGTATAGTTACTTATCTGCTTGGCTTAGGGGTTGCATAACTCCATACCATCCCAACATTTCTCCGATGAAAATAGGGACGTCCTAAGGAAAAGTGGGGCATTCCGGGGTCAAATCAGAATGGCTTCTATAAATCTGGGACTGTCCCTGGAAAATAGGGACACTTGGGGGGGCTGAAGGAGAGCCCTGCTAGATCAAGCCTAAGGCCCATTGAGTCCAGTGCTCTGTTCTCACAGAGGCAACTGGATGCCCATGGGAAGCTCGAGTGTCACAGCACTCTCCCTGCCTGCGTGATCCTTCAACTGGTATTAAGAGGCACACTGCATCAAACATGGGAGAGGAGGGGAGATTTGCTTAAACCTACCCAGGCCTGCCAATTTTCCTCTACAGATGCCCCTCTGGCTGTTTTTTTCTCAAACTAGGTTTGCTTCCCATTTCAAAACTCAACTGAGAACCAATCCCAGTGATTCTCCTCTGAAGTGCCCCTCGTTAGTCTCCTAAGAGAAACCTGGGCTTGGCAATCTCCAGTTTCCTTTATTACACTGCATTCTGCCCTCTGCCTTAAGTTCTGCTCTCTTCCCTGACTGCCATTCCCTCTATTTCCGATGTTCAGACATGAGCACCGTTGCTTATAGAGCCAAAATGCTCAAAACAGAAGGGCCATCAGACTAGGGGAGACCCTTAGGTTTGAATAAGTACAAAAAATCTTAAGGGGGGAAAAACTAAAACAGGGGGACCATTGAGGGCCAAGCATCTGTTCAGTGGTCATGGAATGCTGGCTGGCTGTTGAGGAGGTAGCAGAAACACAGCTGGAAGGGGAAATAGAATGGAATATGATGGTGGAGGGCATGGCTGGCTGGAACACTGAACAGGAGAACTCCAGGCTGCAACATTTTGTTGCAGGCCACATATATGTCATTAAAAAAAATTGTTTTCTACATCTAGTATTCACTCATTTCAAATTACGGTGCCTGGAGATGTGAGGTGCTTGGCTGCATTTGGTGTTCAGAGGGCTGATAAAATTTTAAAGGACTTGGGAAGCTTCTTGACAAGCAAAACACACACACACACACCCTGCACACGCACATACATTATGCTCAATAATAATTCCATACTATACAGGCACACTATAGAATGAGAAACCGAATCATATATTAACAAAATTAATTGGCATAATAAATGTTACCAAAAGGGATTGTATGCGCAATGATATTAATGCAGAACATGAATCCAGCAGGAGCTCCGACTTTTGTCCAATTAGCATTTTGGGGGAAACAAAATTGCAGACTTGTTGCATCATCATCTTTTAGATCTCGCATTTCCAAGGCTTATGAAACATTCATAAGCAAACAGCCTCAGAATTTCTGAAAGAATGCATTAGTTCACACGCGAGACACTGCTAGAGCAGAAAAGAAAAAGCAGCAAAAAAAACCCAGCTTCCTCATGTTATACACTTGTTAGACACAATTTGTTCGTGCTTCTGCTTCTTTACAATATCCCGAGAGACAGTTCAGGAGGTAAGCATGGAGTGCCTACATTGCTTGACCTGTTAACTTTAAAATATTTTTTTCCATTGTCTGGTCCAGAAAGGCCACACATCTCCCAGTCGAGTGTCAGGCCTGGGAGACTGGTGAAATGGGTTCAAGAAGGATGGAAGGCAACCAGCTGGTGCCTGCTGCATTTCTGTGCTTGAGGCTCAGCTGAGGAGCCTGCAAACACCATCACTGATGTGTTAAGTTTGGGAGGTTGACAAAGAGCCGTATCAGTTGACTTTTTCAGTCTGCCACCTACTGCCTGCAAGGTTTCCAAGCGCGGCTGCATCTTTGGAGAGAATGAAGTGCCCTGTTGTTTTCCTCTGAACAATGGAAAACTCCTAGCTGAGTGTTAGGACAGGGCAACAGCCTGCGTTTCCATTCTGATACAGTGGTACCTTAATTCGTTCTGGAGGTCCGTTCTTAACCTGAAACTGTTCTTAACCTGAGGTACCACTTTAGCTAATGAGGCCTCCCGCTGCCGCTGCACCGCCGCCATGCAATTTTTGTTCTCATCCTGAAGCAAAGTTCTTAACCTGAGGTACTATTTCTGGGTTAGCGGAGTCTGTAACCTGAAGCGTCTGTAACCTGAGGTACCATTGTGTACCAGAATGGAATCCCTGTGACTTTTCACCAGCCTGACTCTTCTCTGCCTCTGGCCTCAATCATCTTATTCTTCTGTTCCAGCTTCTGCTTTTCATGCCTCTGATTAATAATAATAATAATAATAATAATAATAATAATTTATTATTTATACCCCGCCCATCTGGCTGGGCTTCCCCGGCCACTCTGGGCGGCTTCCAAAAGAATATTAAAATACTATAATACATCAAACATTAAAAGCTTCCCGAAACAGGGCTGCCTTCAGATGTCTTCTAAAAGCCTGGTAGTTGTTGTTCTCTTTGACATCTGGTGGGAGGGTGTTCCACAGGGAAGGCGCCACTACCGAGAAGGCCCTCTGCCTGGTTCCTTGTAACTTGTCTTCTCGCAGTGAGGGAACCGCCAGAAGGCCCTCGGTGCTGGACCTCAGTGTCCGGGTAGAACGATGGGGGTGGAGACGCTCCTTCAGATATACTGGACCAAGGCCGTTTAGGGCTTTAAAGGTCAGCACCAACACTTTGAATTGTGCTCGGAAACGTACTGGGAGCCAATGTAGGTCTTTCAAGACTGGTGTTATGTGGTCTCTGCGGCCGCTCCCAGTCACCAGTCTAGCTGCCGCGTTCTGGATTAGTTGTAGTTTCCGGGTCACCTTCAAAGGTAGCCCCACGTAGAGCGCATTGCAGTAATCCAAGCGGGAGATAACCAGAGCATGCACCACTCTGGCGAGGCAGTCCGCAGGCAGATAGGGTCTCAGGGTAAACAGCTGCCCTGGACACAGATTTGACCTGTGCCTCCATGGACAGCTGTGAGTCCAAAATGACTCCCAGGCTGCGCACCTGGTCCTTCAGGGGCACAGTTACCCCATTCAGGACCAGGGAATCCTCCACACCTGCCCGCCTCCTGTCCCCCAAAAACAGTACTTCTGTCTTGTCAGGATTCAACCTCAATCTGTTAGCCGCCATCCAACCTCCAACCGCCTCCAGGCACTCACACAGGACCTTCACTGCCTTCACTGGTTCTGATTTGAAAGAGAGGTAGAGCTGGGTATCATCCGCATACTGATGAACACCCAGCCCAAATCCCCTGATGATCTCTCCCAGCGGCTTCATGTAGATGTTGAAAAGCATGGGGGAGAGGACAGAACCCTGAGGCACCCCACAAGTGAGGGCCCAGGGGTCTGAACACTCATCCCCCACCACCACTTTCTGAACACGGCCCAGGAGGAAGGAGCGGAACCACTGTATAACAGTGCCCCCAGCTCCCAGCCCCTCAAGACGGTCCAGAAGGATGTTATGGTCGATGGTATCAAACGCCGCTGAGAGATCCAGCAGAACTAGGAAACAGCTCTCACCTTTGTCCCTAGCCCGCCGGAGATCATCAACTAGTTCGACCAAGGCAGTTTCAGTCCCATGATGAGGCCTGAATCCCGACTGGAAGGGATCCAATGGTCCGCTTCTTCCAGGCGTGCCTGGAGTTGTTCAGCAACCACTCGCTCAATCACCTTGCCCAAGAATGGAAGATTCGAGACTGGGCGATAGTTGGCTATCGTGGCCGCATCTAAAGATGTTTTTTTAAGAAGCGGTTTAATAACCGCCTCTTTCAGCGGGTCTGGGAAGGCTCCCTCACGGAGGGAAGCATTCACCACCCCACGAAGCCCATCGCCCAGTCCTTCCCGGCTAGCTTTTATAAGCCAGGATGGGCAAGGATCAAGGAGGCAAGTGGTTGGTTTCACTCGTCCAAGCAGCCTGTCCACATCCTCGGGGGTAACGGATTGGAAATGATCCCACACAACTTGACTAGACAGGACTCTAGCACTCTCCCACCCCGGCCCTGCTCCCACGGTGGAGTCTACCTCTTCTCGAATCTGAGCAACTTTATCTGCAAAAAACTTTGCAAAGTCATTGCAGGAGATCATGTGGCCCCTACTGGGCCCTGATGGAGCAGGTGGTTCCGCTAAATTGCGAACCACCTGAAAGAGTCTCCTGCTGCTGTTTTCCGCAGATGCAATAGAGGCGGTGAAGAAAGTCTTCTTCGCCGTCGCTATCGCCACTTGGTAGGCTCGACATTGAGCTCTAACCCGTGTCCGGTCAGATTCAGAATGGGTTATCCGCCCATTGTTTCATTGCCCTCAGATCCGTGGAAAACCACGGGGCTGTCCGGCCTCCATGCAATCGGAGAGGGCACTTTGGAGCCAAACAGTCAATAGCCCTGGTTAACTCCACATTCCAGCGGGCCACCAGGGAATCAGCTGAAAGGCCATCAACATGGGATAAAACATCCCCTACCACTCTCTGGAAACCACTTGGATCCATTAAATGGCGGGGGCAGACCATCTGAATCGGTCCCGCCTCCCTGCAGAGGGGAAGGGTCACGGAGAAGTCCAGTTGCACCAGGAAGTGATCTGACCATGGCACTTCTTTGGTTTCGCTTTTACTTAGTGTCAGATCACCAACATCCATAGAGGTGAACACCAGGTCTAAGGCATGCCCGTGGCTATGAGTTGGGCCAGACTTATTCAGGGACAGCCCCATGGAGGCCATGCTTTCCACGAAGTCCCGAGCGGCCCCTTGTAAGGTCGTGTCGGCATGGATGTTAAAATCCCCCAGGACAACCAAACTAGGTGTCTCCAGGAGGACATCCGCCACGACCTGAAGCAGCTCGGGCAGGGAATCCTTGGTGCAGTGGGGAGGTCGGTACACCAATAGGAATCCTGTACTGCCCCTATTGCCCAACTTCCAGAACATGCACTCAGAGAACTGGGTCTTTCCAATAGGACGCCTGGTGCAAACTAATGACTTCCTAAAAATCACTGCAACCCCCCCTCCCCGCCCACAAGGCCTGGGTTGCTGTGCGTAAGAGAAACCTGGTGGACAAGCAGCGGCAAGGACGGGCCCATCTGCTTCATCCAACCAGGTCTCTGTCACACATGCCAGGTCAAATCCTCCATCCACAATCAGGTCGTGGATGGCAGAGGTTTTATTCATCATTGACCTGGCATTGCACAGCAACACTTTCAGGTCATGTGGGTTTCCCTTGTTGATTCCAGTATCCTTCCGGTCAGGACCAGACCTGGAGGCAGGGATAGTCCTCAAACAACGACTAAGCCTGCTTCCTCGGTAATGACATGGTCTGGTCTTAGCGTAACTCCTCCTCCTACCCGTGATCACTGAGATCGGTTGTCCGAGTGCATCCCCCCCTGTGGAACCTGCCCCAGCCATTTTGTTTGCTGGGACCCACTCCCAGGCAGCCCTGACCCCTCCCCTTAAAATCAAATTAAAGCCTATACAAAAACAAACTAACAGAACAATAAAACTATAAAAACAAAAAACAAAGTTACAAACACAACATAATTAAATTAAACAAATTCCCACACCCAACTAAACACCCACCCCACCCCACACACCCGAGGCCTCCCTGGAGCCCCATAAGCTGCGGAGGCGAGTATGGGGCCCGCCCCCCGGCCCAAGGTGGAAAAAGGGCTTCAGGGGGGAGCGGTCCTCCCCAAGACTCACCAGCAAAGCGGCAGCTTTGGACTTCTCTCTGCCACAGACTCTCCCAGCTCTCTGAGCCCTGTCACCTCTTCAGCTTCTGAAACCTGCACCTCCTAATCTCCTGCCTCTTCGTTGTCCCACCACCAAATCCCCAGGCTCTGAGCTTCCCCCCGTAAGTGGTCACCCAGCTGGTTCCTCCCACCATTCCTGTGTGTCCAACCAGTCCGTGACCTATGGCATAGCATATCCAAGGGGTGGATAGAAATCCTGGAGTGCTGTGCAGTGGTACCTTGGTTCCACAACGGCTTAGTTGTCAAACAAATCAGCTCCCAAACGCCACAAACCTGGAAGTAAGTGTTCAGGTTTGCGAACGTTTTTTGGAAGCCGAATGTCTGACATGGGTTCTGATTGGCTGCAGGACCTTCCTGCAGCCAATCAGAAGCTGTGCCTTGGTTTTCGAACAGTTTTGGGAATCGAACAGACTCGCGGAACGGATTAAGTTCAAGAACAAAGGTACTACTTTTTTTGGTCCATCTGTCTCTGTTATGTACTGAAGTTCTCACCCTGGGCCAGCAGGAGGATACTGTAGATAGTTTTCACTCAGGTCCACATATGCAAATAAGGGATTGAAAGTGACGTTCAGTGATTGGATAGTTACAGAAAATGGTTACTGTTGCGTTCTAGTGGAGCTCTATATAAGCAGGCTGGCTGAACCCTTCAGCTCAGTTCTGTTCTGGCCTGTGAATAAACGAGAGCTGTTTGAAGAATTGCTGTGTCGTCTGATATGTTCACCCACAACTTAACAGTCTCTGACCTGAGCAGGTGCTGTTTCATCTAAAACATTTTGGAAGCACTTTTTTTTAATACTGTAGAACTCTCCATTGTCTCCCCCTGACAAAGATACTTGTCAAAATGCCCTGGGCTATTTAAGTACAGTATATTCATAAAATGTGTTTTGGCATCTGCTGAGGTTCAAGGCCTCTCCTTTCCTTTTTTGGGTGGAAGGGGGAGAAATTTTTAATGCTTCCCGGCTTTTGTTTTTGTTTTCATATGTTTGGCATTTCTTTGGAATGTGTCCCTATGCAAAAAGAGATCCTACGAAACTTCAGCTTTTTGTGGGTTCCAAAGGATGTGGTCAGTCTGCCCAAACTGTGAGCTGCATCTGGCTTTAACAATATACATACCAGAGCCATATGAGAAAATCTATTTTGAAAAACAAATTGAGGACAACAGATAATGATTTATTGGGGCATGTTCGCTGTCCTTTTTAGAGTGTTGTATAAATCAATAACAATAACTATTAAAGTTTATTTCAGCTTAAAAATAGATGAATTACCGTAATTAACTTCAATATTTATATTAAACCTCTAAGAATAATGCACAATGTTCATGCTTATGTATAAACAGGGGAAGTCATTTCATTGCCAATTATTTTTGATTCAAAAAACAAAAAACCCTTGGGGTTTTTTAAACAAACTTCCGTATTGCTGGGCTACAACTCCCAAAATACCTGACCATTTCACATGCTCGCTGGGCTGCTGAAACTTGTAGTCCAAAGACATCTGGAGGGTCACAGGTTCCCACTCCTGACATATTCCAAAGAAAACATTTAAAACAGTCCCTCATGATCCAGACTCCCAGCTCAGTTGCCTGGAACCAGTGTTGCTAAGGCATTTTGAGATGGGGGTGTGTGTTAGGGTCCCTCCACACACTGCCTGATTCTATAGAGTAACATTAGCAGATACTTGCCAGTAATTTATGCTCCATTTCAAAGTGTTGAGGAGCTGTTGATTGCCTGCCAATTTTGAAGCAAAAAATAAATAAAAATGAAAGGAATTTAAGAAGCACCTGCCAACTTTCTTCTTATTTTCTTTTGGAAATTGATGCCTTTGTAGTAAATTCACTATGAAAAGATTATATTCTTCTGTGATTATGACAAAAACAGATGCTTTCAAAAGAAGCACTTAAGTACAAACAAGAGGTAAGATAGCACAGCTAATTTTATTATTCATTATAGTCCTTTGAGTCTGTAAAGTTTCTCCCTCACACACACACACACTTTTGGTTTTGCTCTGTAAAAAAACATAATCATTTGTAGCCAGACTGGACTTTGAATCTTAACTGGTGTAAATTTGTTTTGTGTTCATTTTATTTCCATAGGATCATGCTGATTTACAACCAGAAGATTTAATAACATACATTTCCCCCTCTAGCTTAAACATTGTTCCAGCTACGCTATCACATTGACTCTTTGGGAATTTGGCAAATGACATACAGAGAGAAAGATTAAAATACATTCATTTTCCATTCCTTTCGTGACAATTCATCCTTAAAACTTACAATCCTTTCATAGCTATAAACCATGGGAATCTGGCACTCTTACTATTTTTGTAGCAATATCTTCATAAGAACATTTTAAATCTGTGATTTAGTGCTCTCCCCCCCCCCCTAGAAAAATAGGTTCTGGTACTCACCATGAAGTTGTTACAGTTAATGCCACACTTTTTAACAACAAAAAGAAGGAGATATGATATCCACTCAACTATTTCTTCCTACAGTCTCAGGATTGTATCTAGCTAAGTGCTACTCAGACCAGACCCAGTGAAATTAATGGTCCTTCATAATGTCTGTCTATTTCAGCGGGTCTTCTCTGAGTAACACTAACTTTATATACAATGCTTTTCAAATGCAATTTGTTTTCTTGCCCACCGGTCAATCATTAAGTTATAGCATTTTTACTACGATTGCTTTTGCATTTTTTAAAATATTCATGAACAGTAATTACATTTCATTCATAACTGTTGGCTTAAAAAAAGTAGCAACAAATCATGAATACATCATATCAAATGGTCAAAATATAGCCATCAGGGCAGAGTCATTTGGCCTATTTATTAAAATTTATAAGGCATGTCCCATTATTTTGAAACAATCTCTGGCATGTTCTTTTTTCCTCATAAATTTTAATATTCCGTAACCTTATTAATTAGCATGGAATTCCATATTTTCCTTTTCCACTGGCTAGAACTTGTTAAAACATCTGGTCTCCCCACTCTAGACAATGAATTTTATTAGTATTTTCCACACAACAACAACATTAAAAATATCGAAAAATAACAATACACAAAACACAAAAACCAACATTCAAAAAACAAAAAATCCATATCTTACAAGTTAATAATATAAACACTAAAAAGAAAAACAAACATTGACTTCCACCAATCCCACAGCACCTCCTTTATCTCTCATTGTGTCTTCCTGTTTTCCTTATCATCTCTATCCTAACATCTAGATATAAATTCACTTTAGACAATGGCATGCATTGTCATAGAATCATAGAGTCAGAAGGGACCTCAAGGGTCATCTAGTCCAACCGCCTGCAATGCAGGAATCTCAGCTACAGCATCTATGGCAGATGGCCATCCAACCTCTGCTTAAAGTCCTTGACTAATACAGAATGCTCCTTCCTAATCTTCTCTTTTGTTGCTTCCAAGAAATGTGGTTCCATTTTTCATAATAAAATAAAAGAATCTTTAATCACAACCATTATTCTCAATACTGCTGCCCATTCATTAATTTATATACTGCTTAATGTCTGCATGTGCTTGAGAAGAGAATAACATTGACCAGGGTGGGCTGATTCCTGTTGGTGGCTGGTGGCCATTGTCCAGAGGCACCATTTTATAGGATCTTGTCAAGCGTCAGGGGATCCAACCCCAACGGTAGATTGCCAGGAATGGATATGACAAGGAAGTTCTTACCAGTTGCTTTTTATTCAGTGTTCACAGAGAGAGGCTTAGAAAGGCAGCCTCTTGAAATAATGGCATTGCTCCGAGTAAATCTCCCCTCCCCTCCTCTCCCACTTCCTCATTTGTCATCCCTTCTACGGCTGGCGCTGAGAGCTGTTTGCTTCTGAGCCATTTGCTCTCCTATTTTTAAGGCTTTCTGGGTTCTGGGAGATGGTGGGTCTGAAATGCTTTCTAGTGATAACGTGTCAACCAGCTGCTCCGGTTCTACCTCTTCCTCTCCCATTATTTCCCAACTTTTCCCCTCATCTTCCTCTGAGCTGTGATCTCCCACCAACCCCTGTTCTGAACTGTCGTCTTCTTCTCTGGAAGAGCCAGGCTGGGGAGGTTGTCTCCACCATTCCTCCTCTGCCCAGACCCTCTCAGATCTGCACCATGGTGACCCCCTCTCTTCCGTCACCACAACCAATAATAATGACCATGATTCTTGCCCCATCTGTTATCTTTGAGGGTGGGCAGGGTGCTTTCACCTCACTATGGGGACGTCGCATGATGCTGCGTCAGCCGAACATAGGGATTCAGGAACAAGTTGAAAGCAGAAGCAATTGCCTAATGATACAGCTGCCCTCTGCCTGTTGCATGCCATTATTCCTGGAGCGGGATGACAACAATGAATAGTCTCTGGTCTACCTGGGTGTTTACAGAGATGCTCGCTTTCAGACAATACCTCTCAGTGCACCAGCAAATTGTCAGTGTCATCTTGGGATTAACCCTGAATTCAGTAGGGATGTTGTTGTTGTTTAGTTGTTTAGTCGTATACGATTCTTTGTAACCCCATGGACCAGAGCACGCCAGGCACTCCTGTCTTCCACTTCCTCCCGCAGTTTGGTCAAACTCATGCTGGTAGCTTCGAAAACACTGTCCAACCATCTCGTCCTCTGTCGTCCCCTTCTCCTTGTGCCTTCAATCTTTCCCAACATCAGGGTCTTTTCCAGGGAGTCTTCTCATGAGGTGGCCAAAGTATTGGAGCCTCAGCTTCAGGATCTGTCCTTCCAGTGAGCACTCAGGGCTGATTTCCTTAAGGATGGATAGGTTTGATCTTCTTGCAGTCCATGGGACTCTCAAGAGTCTCCTCCAGCACCATAATTCAAAAGCATCAATTCTTCGGCGATCAGCCTTCTTTATGGTCCAGCTCTCACTTCCATACATCACTGCTGGGAAAGCCATAGCTTTCACTATACAGACCTTTGTTGGCAAGGTGATGTCTCTGCTTTTTAAGATGCAAATTAACCAGTTTTTCAGTCCCATCCCCAACAGTTAAGTTAGCATTCTGCAATCACTGACCTTGCTCAGTCTGCATTGGGCTGATTCCCCCCCCCCCTCTACCCTGGGTTATTTTTCTTAAAGATTTGTTGCGCTTCAAGAAACCCGGGGGGGGGGTCCCCCGAGACTGCTATCTTCCTCTCTCACACTTTCAGCAAGTTTCGCAAATTATCCGTAAAAACGAACAGGACGTTGGTCTCTTTCCAGAAGACGGATTGTCTCTCCTGTCATCGATGTCATTGACTGGAAGACCTTTGAGTATTATCCCTCTGCGGGCCTGCAAAGAGGTGTTTTTGACTGGAAATTAGATTTCCACTGGAAGCCACTGCCAGAACTCGAAAAGAAGGTACGACTGTCTCCCATCAGTCCCATCAGGTAATGGTTCACCACCTATTGCTGTTACCTCTAAGAATCAGCTAGCAAATCTCTCACAGCTGCTGGGGAGGTGGTCATATATCTTCTGACTATTATTTTGAGGCTTTTAAGACATTTCTTTGCGCTATGCTACTTTTCTATGCATTAGGAAATACAGCAGAATAAAATATTAAAAAATGAAATGAAATAAATCTAACACATTTAAACATTCTCTAGGAGTCCAGCAATACCCGGAATAGTAGTAGCAGTGGACCGACATTATTTCCAAAATACAGGGGGTTATGATTCTGACATGACCCCGTGGGGAGCTGAAAATCTTGAGTTATCTATAAAGGTAAGCACTTGAGATAAATACATCTCATCTCTTTTGATAATCATGTTTTGACATGACATACCCCTCAACAGTCGTGAGGGAAATGGGGCATCCCTCTCTCTTTTTGCGTGATGGCATGGCAGCCATTTTGAGGGCAGTGGTAATCTTGTGTGGCACCCTAAAAGCTGCAAAAACCTGCAGAAAAAGCACATCTTTTGGGCCACGATCTCGCACAAGCGCATGGCATAACGCAGAATAACTGCCGTAGGGCATTCGTAACACAAAATGGCTACTTGGAATGCATGGCTATTTATCGAAAGGATGAACTGAAGGGAAAGTGCCCAGGGATCACTGGCTTCCTGTCGCCATCTTCTTTCAGCTAAGCATGGGGCTTAAAGGGCATTGTTGGACACGAAATATACTCTCGGCAGCAGTGGTAGGTGTTGCCGGGCCTCGCGGCAGCGACGGCACAGCGGGCTCTTCCTATGTTGGGCGGAACTCAGCGCCTCTGTTTACATCCATGCCAAGACAGGATCATGTTAAATCGAAAACGAAAACAAAGCTTCACTTCTGTTTCAGGCCTGGCTGTGTGGTGGCTCTGTAGAAATCCTTCCATGCTCCCGGGTGGGACATGTCTATCGAACAGGCATACCATACAACTTTCCTGCTGAAGAAGCTGTAGAGAGGAACAAAATCCAGATAGCTGAGACCTGGCTGGGTTCATTTAAAGATCTCTTTTACCAACAGGACAAAATGGCACGCTTAATTAAGAAGGTAAATTCCTCAGAAGTCGTTGCTCTTCAGGGAGAGCCAAATTAAAAGATTAAATTCTACAAAAATTGCACCCTTCAATTTTTGGCAACACCTTTCCATGCTCCTTTGTTCTTTCCTACTTTCTTTTGCTTCCCTTCATTTCTTTCCCATTTACTTCTGTAAAATAAATGTTTCCAAAATATGGTTCCTTTTACATGATTTGTTCCATTTACCATGCATGATTTGGGCAGACTTTGCACAGATATTGATGTGACAGTCACGTGATCCAAAAATTCGTGTTAAGGTCTCATTTTTAAGACCAAGGCTGGATCTACACTGATATGTAAAAACACTATTAAAAGCTATAAAAAAGTTATATAGTGCAATTTCCCATTGCAGATGGATCGCTGCTCTGCAGTGCCCTCTGATGTCACATTTTTATAACACATTTTTAACGTTATAACCGACCAGTGTAGATTCGCACCAGATATTTGTGTGTGTTTAATTGATAAAAGAAGCTGAGTTTTCATAATTATATGAACAATAACAGTAATGTTAACTTGTGTTCAATGAATGGTAGAAATAAACTACAATGCAGTGTGAATTACTAATGCAGATATTCAAATATATATAAGGGTGTTTAATAACTTTGTAAACTATTCTATGTACTCTCCACAGACTGAGAAGCTGAACTGCACAGAGCGTGTTCTACTGCAAAAGAGACTGGGATGCAAAAGTTTCCAATGGTTTATCTCAGATGTGTATCCTGAACTATACCCACTACAACATGGACCAAGATTTTCAGGCAAGGCAAGTGAAATCTATACTGCCGTTGAGGCTCATTATTAAATCAAACTTTCTGGCAACTGAACTTTTTAGTGCTATTATTTATGTAAAGTAGGGGTCGCCAAAACTTTGAGGCCAGTGAACCCCTTTAAATTTTTGAGAAAGTGCCATGAGTGGCTGCCATGGAGATGCAGCGTAACATAAATTGGCTACCACATCTAAAAGAGCAGAAAGACAGACAGGACACAAAATAGTGCAGGCACACCCCTAATCAGCTCCACCCCCCATCAATGGAAAACAACACTACATCAGTCATTGCCATGCATGCATGTTGCTAATTAGAATTTTTCAGCAGTTGAATTTTTCAGTGTAATCCTATTTAAAGATGAGCCCCACTAAGTTCAATGGTATTCTGAATTCAATGGTACTCATCCAGAGGAAAATCTCTATATGATACAAAAGTATGAAGCCATTTGCTCCAAGTTGATGAAGCCCTGTCCATAGTTGTCATACCAGATTGCAGCCTAAGTGAAATTGTGAGACTGCCATTCTGTACACGCTTTCCTGGGAGTAAGTTCTACTGAACACAACAGGGCTTACTTCAGAGCAGACATGTGTATGATGTTTGGGATTGCATTCTTAAAGAGAGCAGATGAAACATCAGACATTATGCTAAGAGGTGGAAACATAATCAGGTTTTGGAAACAAAAATACGGCATTGAGAAGGTTAATAATTTCAATCTCAAGAATTAAAACGCAATACTACTTTGTTAAATTTCCATGTTTGAAATGAGATTCCACTGTGCCTCTCTAATTTTGAAAAAAGCTAATTGCACACTATGTTTAGAGGTGTGCATCAACCACAAATTGCCCACAAAACATTAGCGGGTACATCAACTACCACTGTGGTCTGGCACTTCTGGCCTGTGAACCAAAATAGGCCCACTAGGTCTTCTCATTTGGCCCATGAAGCCATGCCACACTCACCTGCCCTACACCTGATGCCATATATATAAAGCCTTCCAAGGCACCCTGATTCAGTTTGGGATTCATCTGAATGTAATGCACACTCTTATTTTTTATGTTAAAACACAAATGATTCTGTTCAGTCCTTATTATATGAACTTATTTAAACTTGCCTTGGTATGTGATGACTTTGATTAAAAATGTACATGAAATCTACAATCCTATACATACTTACCTGGCGGTAAGTCCCATTGAAGGCTATAGGGCTTACTTATGAATAGACACACACACACACACACACACACAAATTGGATTGTAAAACTGATGCACAAACACAGACAAAAATGATAAATGTAAAAGGGAAATAAATTTCTTTTTAACTCATAGTTTTTGCTTTATTTCAGTATCAATATTTATTTACAGCTGTACAATACTGGGGTTGGACTCTGTGCAGAGTACAGATCTCAACAGGATGCTGGTGGCAGCTGTCTTGCACTGTCACCTTGTAGTGACAATATCAACCAGGTAATTTGAGTTTTCAAAGCATGCACACAATTATATCAAGTTAGATCCCTGCTTCGGAAAAAGGTTGCAATGATACGTCGTGGATTGCAGTGATCCTGTATTAGCTTTTCTAGGAGACTTTGTCAGCTGAAGAGCAGGATACAGACTGGGATTACAGCAAAAAGTTGCAGTGTGGAGTGCTGCTGTTTATGATACTGACCACTACATTTCAATTCTCTCACACCTTCCTCAATAAGTCAGCCAGCATTTCTCTGTAACTGAGCACACTCCTTTCACATTGGGCTGCTTTTATTTTGGTATTTCCACACCTTGGGGCCATTTTGGCCATTCACAACCCAATCAGTCACCAGAAACAAATAACAACAACATGTGTTACATAGAAAAGAGTGTTAAGGAAGCAACACTGGAGAGGATTGTAGGAGAGGAACTCCTTCAAAGTGTGAAAAAAGGTGATAAAAACATTATAGGGAACAGTTTCAGAAACTAGTGCGAGTCCAATAAATAATTGAAGGGAAATTGGAAGGAAGACTCAGACGAAGGCCCAGATATAATCATATAAAGTTCTGTAGATTAAGGAGGCTGGGAAGCAGGCAGAGACATACGTGGAGCTGAAAAGAATGGAGAGTTATCAATGGTCAATAATGTGAAATGCATGAGAGTGATTCACCTAAAGTTACTACCATAGGCTGGTTAAGCTTGCGGCTCGAGTCTTTCCTCAGCTCTCGCCATTATTCTATGAGAAGTTAACCTGTACCACCACATTAAGCTGCAAAATCAGTCAGTGTAAGACAAGTAGCTTAGAAATGGATGACTTGCTGCTAAATCTCCCTTTGTTTTGTGCTAGTTTGTGGCTGGTTAAAAACAAACCCCCACAAAATTTTGCTATCTTAGTGGCCGAGATTAGCACCTATGGCTTCTCCAACCCCTTACATCACCTTTTGTCTAAGCTAGTGTGTTCCTGGCTTCAGGTTTTGGTTGGCCTAGGCCACATCTCACACCCCAAAGGGGAACATCTCATCACTTTCTTATTGGCTTGGGTGCCATGCGCAAAAAAAAGGCATTTCCTTCTTTCATTTGGTGCTTATTTTAGCAAGCGCAAACAGGAAATTATGTCTTTTAGCTCCCCCCTCCTCCGTTCTCCAGTTGTGTTGTTCTTTTGCTTCCTTAGCACGTTGAATACAATGGCATGAAGGAAATCTGTTTTGGTTCCATGCCCCAGCTTTGCTTTGATGTCGAGCGTGAAAAAGTTGTCCTTCAAAACTGTACAAAAAAGATGGAAAACAGCTCACAGCACTGGGATATGAAAGAGGTATGTGGCAAGTTTGGCTCAAGGCTATATTAGCAAAAATAGCTTGATGGGTCAAGGCGCCTGGAGGTTTGCAAATACTTCTGTTTTTATGCCACAGTCCTGTCATCGGCTGCATGTAAAATATGTGTCCCAAACTAGACAAAGGAATGCTGCGCAGATCAAAACTGGGATGGCCTTTTTCAACCTGATGTTTGAGTAGGTGTGAGAATATGCCCTTATCCCAGAAGTGATAGGGTGTATGGCTTGACCACACCAACCAATCAGCAGTGAAACAGGCCAACGCATTACAAGCCACTGCAAATCCATTAAGAGCAATTCCTACATTTCTTTGGGAATCTGGCAATCATGTAGAAATACAACAAGGTGCTTCCGCTATTGTTTTATTGTATTGACCATTGTTTTATGCCACACCGTGCCCCGAGATCAGTTCATATATGATGGAATAGAAATGTCATAATTGAAAACAAAACACAAGATAGTGATTTTACGTGACTGATAAATAGTGTTGATGATAAGCCTAACATTATTTGGTCTTTGTTCATGTGCAGAATGGAATGATTGTCCATCTTCTTTCTGGTAAGTGCATTGGGGCCATGAAGACAGACCTTTGTCTTCAGAAATGTAACAAGGAGGCCAATCTGATGTGGCGATTTGATCATTCATACCATGTAGATGAAAGATGACTATGAAGACCTCCCTGAACCCCATTATCGTTTCATCCATTTGATTCCAAGGTACAAGAAAAGGGAGCTGAGTATGTTTTCTTGGAACAAAAAATGGACAACATAACAGATGCCCAAGTCGTGCATTCCCACCCAAAATTTACCGAAGTGTTTTGGTATAGCAGTGAATGCTGGGTTGATTCCAGGAAACAGGAGATACAGAAGAGATGAAATGACTTTTGTTTATGCTGCTTTCAGGTTGCACAGAATGCTTAACTGGGCAATATGGAAAGATATCATAAAGACCAGCTACACAGATGCAAGATACTGAGATATTTTTCTTTCAATGAATCTTATGGAACAAACTGCCAGAAGGCACGTGTTTAATTTAGTATGTTGTATAATTTATGAAAAGTAGGTTAAAACTATTCTTCTTGAAACTGGAAAAAATCTTTTCTGAAGAACATCAGTATGACTCAAGTGGAGGCCTCACGAGCTAAACAAACAATCCTGATCAATATATTGAAAAGTACTGCCAAGGGTTCTTTAAATGAACATCTAAAAACAATACCGTATATAAAAACAATTAAAACAATTCCAACACAGATGCATAACAGGACAAAGGCTTGTTGAAAGAGGAAGATCTTCAGCAGATGCTGAAAGACTAAATAGAGACAGTGCTTATGTAATGTTTTACAGGAAGACATTCCAAAGGGTGGGGGGCCTCACACTCAAAGCCCAGCTTCTATAAGGAATGGAACAGACCACCTGAAAATTTGCCCCAAGCGAATTTTCTCATGTTAGTCTTTGTTTGCCACTGAGCCCAAGGAACACCGTGGGAGAAATCATGTCCAAATACTTAGATGTGGGAAGATTGTGGTCATAGCTTTGCCAGGTCAATGTCAAACACCAAAGCCAAATGTCTGGAAAAGTTTTTATGCTGATGTAAATCTAAATTAATTCAAATGCGTGATTTCAGATGTAAGCATATATTGTGTGTGGCAAATATGTCCCCACTTACTCCATAATGGGAGTTCAAGGGAGCCTGCAGAATGCGTGTACTGTTCACATCATGGATTGCATATCGTCTTTGGTTAATTTATCAAAAGTAAAGCCCTATTTTTGCAGGTGATGACGACAAAGCTGTCTCGAGCCAGTGAAAGGGAGGGGCGAAATCAAAATGACAAAATACGCTCTTGCTTTGTTTGGTATGGAAATGAACCAAGGACACAGCACGACTACTTTTCCTTTTTAAAGAAAAAAACAGTGAGCAAGGAAAACTCTACTCTCCTGAGTGGAAATTCTACATTTGGGTGGTCTTTCATGATCTGTGTGGGGCTGGCAAAGAGAACTGCTGAACGAAGTTTGGCTTAACTTGGCAGGCTGACAAATCCTCCTCTGAGAAGGTTTTTTAATTTTGGTAGCATACTGACAGAACTGAACTGGTTCAGATCACTGAATATATCAACGTATTTCACCGACTTCTAAAATGTTTTCTCAAAAATGTACCAACGTCTGAAGTCTGAGCTATTGCAGTCTTTAGCTTTGGAACTTCTTAGATTAAGAACCCTGTAGAGATTCAGAGAGAATTTGCTCGTCAGCTTGGGAAGTGAGAGCAATCAAAGTGAAAAATCCGCTTTTCCGGGCAGGCTTCTATGCTTTTGCAGAGCAGGCCAAAATTTATCTGGTCAGTCTAACTACGCATCTATGGTGGGGAAAGCCTGCTCCCACAAATGACAGCTCACACATTATGGCATCCACAAGGAAACCAATGCAAACAAACCTCCATACGGCAGCATCTATGTGCAGAGGTGCTCTGGGGAGTTTCACTTGTAGACAGTGCCACAGGCACTTTTCATTTAAACATAAGGTTGTGCTGCCTCCAAGCTGCTGACTGAGGCTTTTCAAGCAACTTCTGTGTGGAAACCATAAGGAAAAGACGAAGGAGGACAAAACAGCGTTCTTCAAATACCTCAAGAGCTGGCACATGAAAGAGTGGAGAGTCTAGTTCTCTGCTGCTGCAGAGGGCAAGACTAGGTCTAATGCAGGGATCACCACACTTTGGGTCTCATGGGTATATCTGCAAACCAGATAAACAAAGGCCATTCTATACAAACTTCCATCAGCTCCATCCAGCACAGTCATACTGGGGCTGGAGTTGCTGGAAGTTAACAGTCCAAAACATCAGGAGGCCATCAGGAGGAGGAGGTTATTTCTAAGGTCAAGCAGGCATCATACCTTTTATGTTTCTGAAGGGCATCAGTGTTGTGACGCCATCAGGGATGAAACCTTTTGTTGCTGCCATGAACCTTTCATAAGCAATGCCTGCTTTGTGCAATGCGTAAAACAGGCTGTGGAGCTAGTTGATATATGTTTATATGGTTTAAATGATTTGTCGGAATTAAACCAAATGAAATGGGGGAAAAACAAAAACAAAAAGGCCATTCTAGTCTAGCATGGGTTTCACAAAACAGAACAACTCCTATGTATTTCAATATTAAAGTGAATTTTTAAATAACCATAGTGTATTAGATGAGATTCCCAAGCTTGCCTCACTTTTTACTGCCAACAAAGCAATCAGAAAATCAAAGTCTGTACTCAGTAGTTCTGCCACTGTGATATTCAAGGGTCAAATGGTGCAAAAGCTACTCTGATGGACAAGATCCTTAATTTTATAGCTGAAGCAGAAAGTATAATGTTTTGTAAAACCTCATTTTCTACACAAATCCATCACTTTAAAGCAGAAATATTAAAACAACTGAAGAATAGCAAGTTAAAGTTCATTTAAAATGCAGAATAAATATTTTTTACTTTTCAGACATATTGGTACTTTAAAAATATATCAGTCTACAAACTTTCAGTGCCACCTATTGGCCACCAAAAGCAACTGCTGTTAACAAATGGAATTAACAGCAAAGAAACATATTTGATTGCACAAATGGACAATGTCATTCTGTGTGGTTGCAAGTTAAATAGATTGCTTATTCTAAAGATTCTTGCAACTCCGCTACTGGATTATTAGTGGAAAACAGTAAAAATAAAATCAGTGTGTGCCTGTCCACAGCTCCAAGATTAGGAATTTAAATATTAAATTGTAAGCCTGAAGGATTTACAGTTGTGTGGACAGGACATCTAATCATTTAAAACCTGATATTTAGGTGCACTTACAGGAATTCAGGAAAAACATATTGAAGTCATCAGGGTAGATATTTTCCAACTCAGAATCAATGTAATAAATACATGGAAAGTGTCACCAAAATCTCACATCCTGAAACTGCAAGCCCAACTGAAAAGTCCACTCACAAACCAAGTAAGTAAGGCAGTGATGATGATTACAGATACAAATATAAGAAGGTAGCAGTAACTGGATCTCTCTCTAGGGAGACTAGCTGATGTGGCATATATAAGAACTAATAGTTTACTTAAGTTTAAACAGAATTAAGTCAAGCCAACTGAAAACAGGTACAGGGAGTCTGTGGCCCTCCCGATGTTGATGGATTACAATTCCCATCAGCCTTAGCAAGTGTGACCAGTGGCCAAAAGTGATGAGAGTTGTAGTTCAGCAACACATAAAGAGCCACAGGTTTCCCATACCTGCTGTACAGAGAGATTGGGCTCCATATTTGGAAATACCAGGTCTGGTGTTACAGCAACCCACTAAGAAAAACAAAAACGTCATTGTAAGCTATTCAGTTTGGCAAGACAAGAGAGTTTAGCATGATGCAGCTTTGCAGAAAACAAAAGATCATCAAGACAACTGGTATAAGCTTGACTTTAACAAATTTAGCCTCTAATACAGAACCCCCCTCTTTTAAAAAAACACAGCATAGTCTTCTTGCTCATATTATAGGATCTAGCAGCTCGTTCTGTACACTACATAGAAGAATCCATTGTCCGAGAAGTGCAACAAGCACTTTTAACACTTTCATGTATTGTGGACTGCCACCCTTTTCAATCTCACATGTGGAAGAATATTCCATGTATTTAAATAAATTAAGAACTTATGCACACAAATACATGATTTTTTTTGACACATCAGTTCTTTTTCTCAAACTACTGATGAAGCTGATGAGAAAGAGCAATTTGCTATATGCAGAGTCTCTTCAGAACAGGTGTGCTTGCATCTTTCTGCCCAAATTTTCCAGGAACAGCAAAGTTCATCAAGCGATCATCAGCATTTAACCAGTTCTTTGTTTGCTGGTGGTGCAGAGACTTCTTCGCCACACATAAATTGTTCCTAAAATAGATATTAAAAAATAGGTGTCATACATTTTCTCAGTAGTCACTGCCACCCTCGTCTAAAATTCATGCTGAATTTGTGGCCCGCAAAATGATTACAATTATATTTTGCAAGCAAATTATTTCGCCAAGTGCATGGATGTCTCAGAAGGTGAAAACTGAAAATAATGGGTGATAACAAGTGTCACACGAGTCTCATGCAATTAGACTTCCTCTTCTTCTACTTCCCACTGTAGTCCCCCTCCCGCAAAATCTGATCTCCCAACCCGTTAGAGCAGATTTTGGGTGTGCATGGGAAACTGCCGAGACGAGGAAAGGAAGGGAAAGCCCTGCAGGCTCAAGTGTTAAATCAGTTCTGATGGCTGGTGAACACAATCAGATGTCATCAGGTGTATGGGTCCTAGCACTTCCATACATTCGTGATTTCAAAGGCAGAATTGACGTTTGGGGGGGATTTCGAGGTACTGCTTTTTCCTGGATCATGGCAAGTCAATTGGGGGCGGGGTGGAAATAACATTTTTTGGCGTTTTTGTGAAAAAAATAAGCCGAACCACTTTGGGTCTTCCTTTAAAAAGTTCAACAACTTTCAGGGTGTCCTGGTTTTTATTTTTTGAAATATGGCAACCCTTTTAGATCCAGACCAACTTAATTACACTTAGTTCCCACTGAAATCAACAGGACTTAAATGAGAACAGCAGTCTAGAACAGGGTGGATTTGATTTAAATCAAATTGATTTAAACCACGATTTAAATCACAATTTAAATCACTAGTCAGTAAGACTTGATTCAAATCATTTTTTTTACAGAAAGACATTCCTGCTGGTATAATCTTAATATTTACAACCAGATAAAGGTTTCATTTTTGGAATAATAAATTTTCAGAGTAGTTTTTACAGTTATATCAAAAATTACTGATTTGGTTATACTATTAGAAATACATAGACAGATAATTATGAAATTATTGTGAGGTTTAATAAGATAGCTGTTTATATTTGGACAACTTTTCTGCTGTACTTTATTGGAAGGAGAAAAATAATCATTTCCTTAATAACAATTTAAACAATTTATTTAACTAAAATGATAACATTACAGCATATGTATATCCATGTTTGTTAACTGATGTGGTTAAACATTAAAAAAAAACCCTTAGACTGAGTTTCAGCACAAATGAAAAACGAAAAACAAATCCTTATTTCCTGATGAATAGCCTTTGGACTATAATGTAACTTAAACAGAAAACTGTGTTTAGAAAGATTTTTCCTCCAAAAGCATTTTATTTTAAAAATCAAATTTAAATAAAAAAAATTGATTTAGATTTTTAAAAATCCGATTTTTTTAATTCTTATTTTTTAAATCATTGCTTTTTACCCACCCTGGTTTAGAACAAGCCAAATGGGAACAGAGAACACATCCTGACAGCATGAAACATGAAACCTGTGCATTTGTTGCCTCAAAGCTTTAACTGTTCCTATAGCATGGTTTACTATAATTCTCCAATACTTTACATGAAGAACAAGAATAAATTCATAAAAAAGTGTATAGGGAAAGGCCATAGCTCACTGGTAGAGCATCTGCTTTGCATGCAGAAGGTCCCCGCTTCAATCCCTGGCATCTCTAGGAAGGGATGACAGAGACTCACATCAGAAATTCAGGAGTGCCACAGCCAGTCACTGCTGACAATGAGCTAGATGGGCCATTGGTTTGGCTCAGGATAAGGCAGCTTCTTATGTACACATTTACGAGGACATATTTATGAGGACAAGCACCTCAGGTGCCCCAGCCGACTTCTCACCTTATCGTAGATGACTTTTACTATGAGTGAGCAGCTTGGACAGGTGGCTACATCTTCACCATTCTCCAGATCCTCCTGCAATGACACACAATAGTCTATCATCGCCTGGACAGGGCAAAGCAGTAATCAGTCATTCTTGAAGGAGACGAGCACTTCCTTGTTTGTGATAATGAGTATCAGCACAATTCAACCTTCTTGGCAAAGGCTAGTAAGATCCAAGAGGCAGAGTAGAGAGCCATGTAGAAGAAAATGAAGGGTAGAAGCAGGAGTAATAATAATAATAATAATAATTTATTATTTATACCCCACCCATGTGGCTGGGCTTCCCCAGCCACTCTGGGCAGCTTCCAACAAAATATTAAAATACTGTACAGTAATGCATCAAACATTTAAAGCTTCCCTAAACAGGGCTGCCTTCAGATGTCTTCTAAAAGTCTGGTAGCTGTTCTCTTTGACATCTGGTGGGAGGGCGTTCCACAGGGCGGGAGCCACTACCGAGAAGGCCCTCTGCCAGGGTTCCTGTACCCTGTACACTCTGTTCCCTGTACACTCTCAGAGGAAACAACCCCGTCAATAACGCCAGATCCAAACCTTCTCCCTATGTATGAAGGTACTTCTGAATTCTCCCTATGTATGGAGGTACTTCTGAATTCAGAATACACGCGTGCGCACCCCACTCCGCTTACCCGCGTGATGAGGAACCGGTCCCCGCAGGGACACGGGTAGCTGTAGGTCTCCGTCTCCTCATCGAACTCGAAGTCCTCGATCTCCACTTCGTCGTGGAAAACAGACATGCCCCAGACCGGATCTATCGCCTCCCCGATGAGCAGCTTTCTACTAACGCCGACAGGGTGCCGCTGGAAAACTACACGCCGCCATCTTTGTCCCGGGTTGACGCCACACAGGCTCGCTGCACCAATCGGCTGTCAGGAAGAAGAAAAAAGCGAACGAAGTCACTCTCGCGATGTCTTGGAAACCAATCGTGGATCGAGTGCACCCTAGAGCAACACATGGACGGAAGATAAGGAAAAAAACCTATATCGGCTGCACGTGAGTTTGAAGCACCCGGTTACTGTTTCCGCCTTCGAGAGCAGAGTGACGTCGCTCTGCCCCTCTGAGTCTCTATGGTGAAGCCCTTCTACGCTTTCATAAGAGCGGGAAAGCGAGTTCCGATACTGGGCCGGAAGTGCCTAAATCATAGCGGCGGACTTTGGCTTCCCGCCCCCTCTTCGCAAGATGCCGTTGTTGTGCCGGAGAGGAAGTGGCGGTGCGGGTGCCGGTTGCTCGTGACTGGGCCTGTTAGGCTTCGCTAGGCCGGGCGACGCGTCCTGAGGAGTCTGCGGGGGGAGTAAGTCGCCTCCCTTCGCCCTTTTGGACCCCGCGAGAGGCGGGTGAGTCTGAAAAGGGACCCGCAGGAGTAATGAGGCGGTGGCAACCCGCGCCCTGTCACGCCGGAGCGAAGCCCCTTCAGGGCATAGCTGTCAACTTTTCACCTTTTTAAAGGGAAATTCCCTTATTCCGAATAGGATTCCTCGCAAGAAAAGGGAAAAGTTGACAGCTGTGCTTCAGGGACACTTTCACTGGGTTTTACTTAGGATGTGTTTATTTATTATATCGCATTTATATCCCACCATTTTTTTAACTCGAGGAGCTCGAGGTGGCGTACATGAGTCTCCCCGCTTCATAATCACCCCCCACAACAACCCCGTGAGGTAGGACAGAGCGAGCGAGTGAATTGTTGGCCCAAGGTCACCCAGGAAGCTTGGTAGCCCATGAAGAGTGTATACCTGAAGGAGCGTCTCCACCCCCATCGTCCAGCCCAGACACTGAGGTCCAGCTCCGAGGACCTTCTGGCAGTTTCTCTTACTGCAGGAAGTGAAGTGACAGGGGCCCAGGCAGAGGGCCTTCTCGGTAGTGGCGCCGCCCTGTGGAACACCCTCCCAGCAGATGTCAAGGAGATAAACAACTACAGAACTTTTAGAAGACATCCGAAGGCAGCCCTGTATTGGGAAGTTTTTAATGTTTGTTGTTTTATTGTGTTTTCATATGTTTGGGAAGCCGCCCAGAATGGCTGGGGAAACCCAGTCAGATGAGCGGGGGTATAAATAATAATAAATTTTCTGTTTGTCTGGAGGGACATTGGAAAACATCTGAAGGCAGCCCTGTATCGGGAAACTTTTTTAAGTTTGTTGTCTCGCTGTGTTTTTATATTATGTTGGAAGCTGCCCAGAAGGTTTGCGGCAACCCAGTTGGATGGGTGAAGTATAAGCAATGCTTTTCTCCCCTAGGAAAATACAGTCATACCTTGGTTTGCGAACGTTCTAAAACATTTTGACTCCTGAACACCACAAACCCGGAAGTGACTGTTCTGGTTTGTGAACTATTTTTGGAAGCCGAACGTCCGACAGGGCTTCAGTGGCTTCCTATTGGCTGCAGGAGCCACACATTGGTTTCCAGACGTTTTGGAAGTCAAACAGACTTCTGGAATGGATTCTGTTCGACCTCCAAGATATGACTGTTGGTGCCAGTACTCACCATGAAGTTGTTACAGTAAGTGCCACACTTTTTAACAACAACAAAGAGAGGTGCCGGTACTGCGTAACCTTGAGTACCCCCCTGAAAAAAAGCACTGAGTACAGTATAAGTAATAAATTATTGTTATTAGAATTTGGATCCTGGTCTCTCCCAGGTCCCGGACAGGCATTAACCACTACACTGCCACTGGCTCTTTCAGACAAAGCTTTCCTTTCCCCCTTCTCCCCCACACTGACACAAGAAGAACCCTGCTGTGTCAATCTGTAGGTCAATCCGTTTGTTTGTTTGTTTGTTTGTTTGTTTACATGGTTTTTTTACCCCTTTCCTCCCATCCCCAATTTATCCTCACAACAACCCTGTGAGGTTGGCTAGGCATAAAGATAGTTTATGAAGGGGATAGCTGAGTGGGGATTTGAACCTGGTTCTAAGTGCTCCATACTGGCTCTCCCATCTAGTCCATCATTCTTCTTGCCTCAGTAGCCAATCAGATCCTGAAGGCAATTGGTGCCCCGCTTCTGGCCACTCCTGCCGAAGCTGGTATTTATTGGCACTCTTTGTGGTTATTGCTGGGTTTTTCATATACCCCACTCCCTGTTCAAAAAGCACTTTGTGTTTGTAAAGTATGGCATTGTGAATAGCTTTTATTGTGTTTGCCTTCAGGAAAACTTTGAAGGATGAGTCAGTATTGGACGAAGAGCCTCTTTTATCTCGCTTAGTAAGAGTGATTTGTCCTCCAGGTGGGCTGTAAACTTAAAATTGGAACTGCAGGTTGGTTAAGTTTAAGTAGTTCTTGCCTACATTTCAGCCTGATGGCAGATCATTTTCAGTGTCTTGTCAGTCATAGTTGTTAATGAGCCATTTCAGGTGTCAAAATTAGTCCAAACATAAGAGATACACGAGTGCTGTGGTATCATTTCAGATAAGATGCATCTGTTCAGTTCAAAGTTTGCTGTTAAGGCTGCACTCATTCTCTCTCTCTCTCTCTCTCACACACACACACACTCGTGTGTGTATAAACTCAGGGATGTACTTCTGAGTAGACATACATAGGATTGGGCTGCAAAATAGCTTTGTGGGAAAGTTGTAGCCTGAAAACTAAACTAACTGAGCACACCCAACATAGAATCAGAACATTATTATTTTAAAAAAATAAACACTGCTCACCTAGTCAGTTGTAGTTCTCAAATGCATCTGTACCAGAAAGGTTCTGACTTTCTCTGGAAAATGTTTAGGCTCTGATCATATCTTACCTTGACATCTGGCAGGTTTATTTTCCAATATATTTGTTTCCCATTATTTAAAATAGACCTCTCAAGTGACTTCATTTGGCAAACCCTCTCTTGTATCTTGTCACATTTTGATGCAAACAAGTAGGGCTTTGCAAAACTGAAAAATAGTACAAAAGATGGCTGTCTGCAACCAAAACACAGTCATTGAGATGTGTTACTTTCAGCCTGCAATCCTGTAGAAATTTCTTTATGAGTAAGCTCCATTGAAATCAGTGGGGTCTATCCTGAGTAAAGATACTTAGTGTTGAGCAATATGTACACTACGTTCCCACAAGTGAAACAAATATTTTTCTATGTATGCGTCCATAGTACATTGTTCATTTGCTTTCTCTGATGCCCAGGACAGATATAATGCTCACAATATGCTATCTATGGTTAGGAGATTTTTAGCATGTTGGAATCATGAGTATCTTATCCCTCCTTTTGCATGGGTTTGCCCCCCTCTTCCTTTTTCAGACTCCATGATGCATCACTGTTCAAGATAACCATGCTCAGACCACAGTTGGTATAGTTGTAATGTTGCACCAAGGAAAGGAAGATTTATGCATGAGATTAAAGGAGGGTGGTGAGGCAAGAAATATATGGATCCCAATCAACTCCATTGTTGCAGTCATGATTTTGAGATTAACACCATTACATCAGTATTGAGCCTGAGCACAGATGTTGGATTATTCTTTGACAGTGCAATCCTATACATGTCTACATAGAAGTAAGTCAGTGGAATTTAGAATTGTAGAATCATGGAGTTGAAAGGGACCCTGATGATTATCTAGTCCAACCCCCTGCAATGCAGGAATATGCAGTTGTTCCTTGGGGATCGAACCTGTAACCTTGGTGTTATCAGCACCATACTCTAACCAACTGAGCAATCCTCTCAAGAAAATGTATATGGAACTGCTACCTGAATTACCTGAAACTAGTTTCACATATCGTAAAATCTAGGCAGAAGAATAGGATTCTGTTCAGCATTTATCTTAGAAAATGAATACTGTTGTTTTATACGATCTACCTATCATTCTTGCAAATGTATAGCAAGATTGTAATGATTTTAGCTAACTTGCGGAGCCAGTATCTTTTGTCCCTGCTTATTTAATTTAGCATCCACATGTGCCCAGAAATGGTGATAAATGTATATACATCCCCACCTGTGTTTGAATATATCTGTAACAAAGTGTTGTGAAAGCTGCCAGCATTCATGGGAGAGATAGAGAGAGGAAAATGTGGGGGAGAACTGAACAGGTTTGTTTGTTTTATTAGCCAAATGTGTTGACATAAGAGAGCTCTGGAGATTTGATGACTTTAAGGAGTCAAGGAGTCAACCACTAAGCTATTCCCAATGACATAATGAGATTAATACATGTGTATATCAAAGTTCACAGGGATGGAGCTAAATCATACAGAAGAGAAACGTCATCTTGGTTCTTGAAGTGGTTGTTCTAAACTACCTCCTTAATGTCATGGAAAGAAACATTTGGGATTTTGGGGGGGGTATTGCTTCTTAAAGTCAGAGAGGTTAGCCACCAGCAGATGTCACTAGTAGACACAAAAGTTGTTGTACAGCATGTTGCAGCTGTAAAGGCCTATACAAACTATTGCTGTGCACGTAACACACTTAAAAATAGACAACAAAAAGAGTGGAATATTAAATGCAGTAGTTGTGTCTGTGTTATAAAGCTGTGAGTTGAAACACTATACAAATGTTGTGATCTTAAGCATGTTGGCTTTGCACTAAGTGCTATTGAACTTAGTGGAACTTTTCTAAAAGTGAAGAGGATTGAGTCCTTAACATCTGAGGGCTCGTTTTGGGGAAGGCTGTGCCAAAAACACCATAAAAGAAGCTATAGCTGGTTTTTTGTTTCTTTGTTTTTTTAGCATAATACAAGTTAGACAGTACACAACCTACTTAAGAGCTAGGACTATTTCCTAGTTCATACATTTATTACATTGTGTGTGCACTTATTAATTTTCTTGGAGTAGCTTCTGAGAAGACCTTTGGTTATTACATGGCCAGCAGATTGTCATCTGGTGACAACCCAGAAGTGGGCCTTCTTGGTGATAGCACTCATGAATGCCCTTCCCCAGATAATTTGCAAGGCAGAAATCATAATGACTTTTAAACAAATCTTTAAAGGATCTTCACTGGCACAATTCAAAGTGTTGGTACTGACCTTTAAATCCCTAAATGGCCTTGGCTGAGGACACCTGAAGGAGCATCTCCACCCCTATCATTCAATCTGGACACTGAGGCCGACTTCCAAGGGTTTTCTGGAGGTTCCCTCACAGTGGGAAGTAAAGTTACTGGGAACCAGGCAGAGGGCCTTCTCGGCGGTAGCACCCTCCCTGTGGAACACCTTCCCATCAGATGTCAAGGAGATAAAGAACTACACAACTTTTAGAAGACATCTGAAGCCAGACCTGTTTAGGGAAGTTTTTAATGTTTGACATTTTATTATTTTTTGTATTTTGCTGGAAGCCGCCCAGAGTGGCTGGGGGTGCCCAGCCAGATGGGTGGCGTAGAAATATATAGTAATAGTAATAATGATGTATAATCTTTAAAAATGAAAAAGAAGAATTGAGTACTCCATTAGTATCTGTACTATGAATCCTCAAGGACTTGGATTTTGTTTTAGTAAGAGGTGGAATACTGGCCTTGATTCATCTCCATGTGGTAGTTCTTGTGTGCTTCTCTATTGAATTAGCCTCATCTGCTCTAGTGGTGGCTCTGAAAACACACTGGATTTAGCATGCATTGCTCAGTGTTTTATGATGAAAGCATACATGCTAGATATGCATTTTCATGTGTGAAATCTTTGTGCCGAGAACCCAAATCCGAGCTATATGATGCTTCCTAAAATAACTCTTTGTACCAGTTGTGAGAACCTGGAGCCCAGATAATGCATTCACCCCCCCCACTCAATTTCACAGCCCTCTGGGGGTTGTGGCACAGAGATGAAGAGAAAGATGGGGTTGCAGTGAAGGGTGCACTTAAAGTTATGTTAGCCTAAAATGTTCGGCTTAATGATTTTAAAAAACATGTAAATAAAAGGATAGTTGCCATTCAGAAGCCTCCATCTCCTCAGAAAGGGTGACATGAAGCAGTGGTTGCCAGCATTTAATTGGGTTTGCCTCTGTGTTCAAGAATATTCAGTGGTCTTACTCCCTGGCCTGTCCTCTCCCAGTTCTTGTGTTCCATTGCGCGCGCACACACAGACACACGCACACACACTGGCTTGTAGTACATCAACACATTCCCTAAAGGGCATTTGTTAACTTGGAGAGACACATATAGTAATGAGAAGAATCTTGTCTTCTGGTTAGGTGTCTTTGACTGAAGCAGCTGTAGTCTGAGAGAGAGATGTGTTTATGATGTGAGTGCCTGTTTCATGGAAAGTTTCTGTGATGTCAGCACTTGTCCAGGAATGAGCTCATTTCACTTAAATCACCAAGCCAGCAACATACTTTTTGTGATAGGTAACTCCTCTTTTAAATATTTGGAAAAGATGTTATTTTTTTCTCCTTAGAATTGTGCAGGTCTGCTGTTTGACACAATTGTCAATACTTGCTAATTGAACAAGTATTTTAGGAAACTGAAAAATCAAGCTTTCCAAAAAACTTAAAGAAAACTACAATTGTTAACTGTGCTGTTTTTTTTTAAATTGCAGGTGCTTATAAGACTAGAGAACGCTATGGTCTGTGCTGCTGTTTTTGCTATTCCTCCGTTGCTGAGAAGTACTGCTGGAGTTCTTCCCATTTGTTCTTCTATCTTACATCTGAAACATGCGGCGCTATGTTATTGCACAGTAAATGGGTAAGATGTTTGTGTCCTCTAAATACTAAAATACATGTTGAGAGAAATGGAAATATCCCCATAATACATTTATTACATTTCTTTAAATTTATATGTCACTTTTAATTTCAAAAAGCCCTGAGGGGTTCGCAAATCACATTGTCATTTACATAGCATAGCAGAGCAAATTAAACCAAAAAAACATATTCACCCTTAAAACAGCAGCATATGGGAAACAATCCCATAGAGTCTTCTACAAGTCCATTTTTCCAGAACCTAATTGGTGATAACTTCGAGAAAGCTTGAAGGGATACATTTTTAACACCCAGCGAAACTGGAGTAAATATTATCACTGATGGACCTCCAGAGACTTGGTGTTTCACAGAGGATGCTGCAGCCAAGAAGGCCCTCAACTGAGTTGCCACCCCTTGGGGCTCAGCTGGCAGTGGCACCCCAGGAGGGTTTTCCTCCAGAGATCTCAGTGGCTGGGCTGGCACATGGCAGGAGATGAATATTTGGGTCATTTAGGGCTTTAAAAAACAAAACGGGCTTAAAAGTGAACAGGCAGGCAGAGCAGATTGTGGAGAATAGGTGTTACGGTGACTCTGAAATGGCATGCTGCTCAGTAATCGGTTGGCAGCCTGGGACACCCGTTGCCGTTTCCAAGCCATTTTCAAAGGCAGCCATGTGTAGAGCACATTGCTGTAATCCAGGCTTGAGGTTATCAGGGCGTGGATCACCATAACAAGGTCCAGGAATGGCTGTAGCTGCTGAATCATCTGCAGCACAAAAAAGTGTATTTGGAACTTCAAAGATGGATCTCGGAGTATGCACTCATGCTTCAGGCACCCCATAACAGTTTGTCCAACCACCTCCTAGATTCAGAAGCTGCCCACCAACAGTACCTCCTCCGTCTTGTCAGTTTATTGGTCCTCAGTCATCCCATTATTGTTTCCAGATACTCATTAAGTACCTGGAAACAAATCCCTGGATAAACTCTCCCATTATCTTCATACAGACGTTGAAGATTAGAAAATCTTATGGATGATAAGTCTATGAACCGTGATAATTAAATGGAAGCTCAATATTCAGAAGTTCTATACCTCTGAATTTTAGACCCTAGGCACAAAATGCCCATTGCCTATATATGACTTTCAAAGGCATAATGATGGTTACTGTTGGAAACAGTGCTGAATTTGACAGACTTTGTCTCTTCTGGCAGCTCAGTTCTGTTCTTGGCCTTAGAGTTTTGTTCTTAGTGACTAGCGACAACTGAATCCTAACTTTAAACAGGTCTTCAATGAGCTTTTTTATTTAAGCTATACAATAAAACTGGGTAATGACGGTCTTAATTTGTCTTTCATTCAAAGCAACATGAAATCAAAAAGAAAGCCAGATCATCTGGAGAGAACAGCACATGACTTTCGACAGGAGGTTGGTATCATACAGCCTGAAATCTACCATGTGCCAAAGAACTTGGATGAGTTTGGTGGAGACTTGGCCCTTCTGTTTAGGGAAGTTTTTAATATTTAATGCTGTATTGTTTTTAACACTTGATTGGGAGCCGCCCAGAGCGGCTGGGGAAACCCAGTCAGATGGGTGGGGTATAAATAAATAAATTATTATTATTATTATTATTATTATTATTATCCTCCTCTCTGTGATTCTGTTTCGTTTATCAACTTTTTGTGATTACACGGCTTCAAGATGGCTTGTTTCTAACAAGCAGTAGTCAACATTAACACAGTTTGTCAGGTCAGACGAAACAACAAGCTGCGGTTAAGGAAAAACGGAAGCAAAAACTCCCAGACTCCTCATGACTGTGCTGGAGGAGTATGAAGGGAAATGAGGGACAGTCCTATTCTGCTTCTTAGCTCTAGCTCAAACCTGTTTCCCATAACAACTTTGCATGCAGGATCTAGTCATGTAGTCATGGCTATAATATTTTTGTCCGCAGATTAGGTCACAGGTTAATGTGAACAGGGTAAGGCTAGTCATTTCCTACCCTGGGGCTTCACTGGGGTTGGAATGAAAGCCGTAAATGATTTAACTAGCATGACTGTTCTTTCGTTGCTGTTGTTTGACATTGTGTATTAAAGTTATAAAGAAAAAAGTGTGTTAGCTTTTAACTGGCAAGTGTCCTGTTGTTTTACTGGACAGTAGACATGTTCAAATATTTTTTTAGGGAGAAATTCATTTCCTGCCATGTGTTTCAAATTAAAATGTAGCTTGGTTACATTTCATTTGTTAGACGCCAGTCCTGCTGGATGGGAAATGACAGAGTCATAGCTGGAATTTGATGAGATTATGGTGTTGGTGGTTTTGTTTAGTTTTTTACATCTCTGTACTTTTGGACCTGCACGAGTCATCTGAAGAACCTGGCTTTTCAGAATATTAGAGTATCTGTAGTGAACACAATAATTCCAAATAGTAGTTTAGAGTGTGCAGGCTGTAAAAGTCAGGAAAACGCAGCAGAGTTAAGGAATGATGTAGACTGAGGCCTTTGGAGAGCCCCATGGCATAGTGGTTAGTGTTCAACTAAAACTTGGATTTAAAGCCCCATTCAGCCATGAAGCTTGCTGGCTGACCTTGGATCAGTCACTGGCCCAGTTTGCATACAAATTTAAACCATAGTTTAAATTTAAAGTATGGTTTAATGAACACAAGTGCCTTGCTGCACTCCTTCTCCTGACTGTGTCACATGGGGGAAGAAACAAGGTGGAGTCAAGCAAACCTAGGCTTGTCAGGGCTTGTGGTTGGTGCAAGAGCCTGGGCTCAGACATGACAGTACAAGAAGCCAGACTCTGGTTTGTTTAAGTGGCACAGTCAGGAGCAGCAGTGGTGCAAAGCCCAATGGTTGGATGTTACATGAAATTTAACATTTCTCAGCCTAAGCTACTTCATTGTGTTGCTATGAAGTTAAAATGGGAGAGGGGGGAACTGCCCAGAACTTATTGGAGGAAGGCAGACTCCTAGTTGTCTCATTTCAGTATTGGTGATGGATGACTGGAAGGAGGTTTCAGCACGTGGGATATTCTCACTATTGAAAATGTTGAGATGCTTTCTTGAAACAGTAGTGGTGGTATTGGTAACAGTGATTTTTGTATTTTAGATCATTTCCAAAGCAAAAGTGTGTGGAATCACCAGCGAATCTGAAACAGTTAAACGTCTCCGTCTGGCAGTCACAGATAAAGAATTTACTTTTAAAGCAGGACAATGGTAAAGTTCCTTCTTCTGGATTTATTAAACAAGAGGGGAAACTTTCGAGGGCAAGCCTAATTTTTCGAGACATTTTTGCAAATTGATCCAAGCAATCAGCTTCTGTGGTATTCACAGAGACATGGGCTTTTCCTCTTCTCAGCTTTCTATGAAACAGCTGGTAAAAGTGGTTTGGGAATTTGTCCAAATTTTATCTCCATGGAAAACATGGCCCTGCTCATCAAATAGAATAAACCTCAATTATAACTCTTTTTGCATCGCCCCAATTTGTCGCTTTGTGCTACATTTTTTCCTGAGAGAGCTGTATCTTAAGAATTCCAAAAGCGCACTCCACATATAAATCTCCTGGGCGACAGAGTGCTTTCTGTGCGTGTTGCAAATGATTTTAGTTCATATCACCATGTGTTGCAGAAGAAACCTCTTTTGAAGACTTCCAAAAGCAGGTTGCATTACAGCATGTGGGAAGCCACTGCTCAAAGAATGAGAAAGTCAGCAGTTTCACAGGGAATGCCCTGTTCATGCCTCAGAATCATAGAGTTGGAAGGCACCCAAGGGTCATCTAGTCCAACCTCCCGCAATGCAAGAATCTTGGCTAAAGCATCCATGACAGGTGGCCATCCAACCTCTGCTTAAAATCCTCCAAGGAATCCACCACCTCTAGTGGGAGTCTGTTCCACTGCTGAACAGCTCTTACTGTCAGAAAGTTTTTCCGAATGTTTGTTCCAAATCTCCTTTCTTGTAACTTGAATTCGTTGGTTCATGCTTTCAGGATCTGTGAGGTTTTTTTCTGGACAATTCATTCATAGTCTGAATTGGATTCTGTGCTTGTCAGGTTGGGGAGTTCCTGCCCTCCCAGCCCCCTTTTTTCTTTATTTTTGTTGCTCCATCTGGTGAACAGGTTTCATAGGAATCGAACTTTATCTGATAGGATGCTAATAGCATGAGCAACTAGTTCAGTGTTAATTTTGCAGCCTTTTACATTTAGAACAAGAAAACAAGATGTTGATTGCAATAATTCATGTTTGTGGAGCAATTTGCAGCAGCCTTTGCACATGTGCACAGATGCATACTAAATTTGTGCTTGCTGGTTCTTGGAAAAACATTTACCCTTCAAAAATGTTTTGGTAATTATCATACTGAAAACTGGATTCTGTAATTATAATTACTCTTTTCATTATCTTCCTTTTAAAGTATTCTAATTCTGTTTGGCATGCTAACTTTCTGCCAGTGCAGCCCATAAGTGTGATTGTGTTCTAATGAGAGATACTAAGAACTAGGCCACGAGAGAAAAGGTTAATCGGCCTACTTTTGTAATGAAGTGGCAGGGTTTCTCTTCATAATGCAAACATGCACAACTCCTTTGCATAATATAAAAGTCACATAGCCGCTTCCAAGGAGCTAGTATTTTGCTCAAGATATGCCTACTTCGAAGATATGTCTAGCATCACAGATGCAGCTTGCCAGAATCTGCATAGCAGTATTTCTTAGATTGTTGCATGCTTCAGTCTCTCTTGAATAGTAGTCAAGGGAGATATATAGTGAAAGATACTATTCTTCCTTTGCTTTAAACTTTCCAGCCTACCTATTATAAAACTGTAATGCTGTTTGACTTAACAACTGTTACCTTCTTAAGCAGCTTTGTAAATAAGCCTGCAAAGTTTACGGGCCCAGAAACATGTTTATTAGTCTGCCTGGGGGGCTAACAGATGATGCTTGCTGCATTTCTATGGAAGAAGAGCTTCCCTTCACTGGTAGCCCACGTGGTTTCCATACTGGGTGTAGAGGAGGCACAAAGCACTCCATCCCTCTTCTGCTAGCCCACTTACTCACTTGCATGCAGTTCCTTGTCACCTATGGCGAGCAGGTGAAAGATTAAACACAGGGCTGCCATAAAGATTAAAGAAGCAATATGAGTGTGGGTGTTTCATAGAATTATAGAACTGCAGAGTTGGAAGGGACCACGTGAGTCCAACTCCCTGCAATGCAGGAATATTTTGCCCAGTGTGGGGTTTTGTTCTTCAAGTCTTTCCTGCATGGATTTTATAATCCACAAAGAAAAACCGGAAGATGGGATATCTTGTGGCATGGTGGGTAGGTGGGCGGCATCTTCCTAATAGTCTTGGCACCAAATTAAGACTGCAGCCTGATCCAAACTTAAGTTGCCATTATACAAATCTATGCTGCAATCGCCTCTGGAATACTGTGTGCATTTCTGGTCACCTCTCCTCAAAAAGGATATTGTAGACTTGGGAAATGTTCAGAAAAGATAAGCCCAAATGATCAAGAGGATGGAGCAAGGAAAGGTTGCAGCGCCTGGGCCTTTTGAGTTTAGAGAAAAGGTAAGTAAGTGTTGACACGATAAAATATTCATATGATTAAGTAAAAGGTAAAGGACCCCTGGACGGTTAAGTCCAGTCAAAGGTGACTATGGGGTTGCTGTGCTCATCTCGCTTTCAGGCCAAGGGACCCGGTGTTTGTCCGCAGACAGCTTTTCAGGTCATGTGGCCAGCATGACTAAACTGCTTCTGGCACAACGGAACACCGTGAGGGAAACCAGAGCGCATGGAATCGCTGTTTACCTTTCCACCACAGCGGTACCTATTTATCTACTTGCACTGGCATGCTTTCAAACTGCTAGGTTGGCAGAAGCTGGGACAGAGCAACTGGAGCTCACCCCATCGGCGGGGATTCGAACCGCCGACCTTCTGATCGGCAAGCCCAAGAGACTCAGTGGTTTAGACCACAGTGCCGCCTGCGTCACCTCATATGATTATCTATGGGTGGCATAGAGAAAGTGGATAGAGTTTTTATCTGTAGATAAAACCCACTCCCTTAGAGTGCGTTTTACTCTCATAACACTGGAACTCATGAACATCCAACGAAGCTGATTATTGGAAGATTCAGGACATGTAAAAGAAAGCCCTTCTTCACACGGTGCATAGTTAAACACTGGAACTCACTCCCACAGGAGGAAGTGATGGCCCACCAACTTGCAGAGCTTTAAAAGAAATTCTCGGACGATCGTGCTATCAATGGCTTCGCTTAGCCTTCAGGGTCAGAGGCAATTATGCCTCTGATTACCAGTCGCCGGAAACCAAATGAGGTGGTGCTTGGATCTTGCTTGCAGGTTTTCTGCAGGCATCGGGGAGAAATTCCATTCATACTGATTTTCTCACCATGCAATCATCTGCATGCGTAAGTCCCATGGTTGTCAGTGACGTTTACTCCCAGAAGCATGCACACGATTGCAGCCTTAAGTATCCAAGCACATAAGGATCGGATCACACCAAGTACCCATAGTCCTTGCCAATTTGCCAGCTTTAAAATGTAGAGGTTCTGGGGTGCCCTGAAAGATTTTACAAAATCCCAGCGTTAACCTCTCTGCTTGGGTAATACACAGCTTCATGTAAATAAAGAGAGGAGCCCAACTCCATTCAAGTTAAGGGGAACCTTGTGGTTGACTTTCATTAAAAATTGTGCAACTGTTTGCCCCAGACGCAGAGGTTGATGCAGAAATGTGTTTCTGCACATAGATTCTGTTTTAAAGGCTGTGCAACAGGCTGTGAGTAGAGCAGGGAAAGCAGATACCAATCATGAAATGCATGTGGGGGGAAAACATTTGAAAGGAAAGCGATTTTTAATGGTCCTTGGGAGGCGTTCCAGCATATATTATGAGGAACCACTTTCCTCCCCTCCTAATCAGGTTTCTGTTCCTCTTGGGTTGATAGCCTGTTTTATATAGCACTTGTTAGGTTTAGTTATGAATAAATGCATATAAATATCATTTATGTGCATGCAATTATGTACAATATCTATAGCTTTCTGTGTGGAATATGTTACAAGCTCTTGATGGTATCTGTAATTAGTGAAGAGCTTCCGTGATACAGTCTAGCAGGTTAACTGTTAGGGAATTTGCTTAAGCTTGATACGGTTTCACAGTTAACTTATACTGCAGTATCTTAATAAGACTAAATGGGTCTTGCTTTCTGTGTTTATCACTGTCGTAGGCAAACACAGGGTTTGATGCACAGGGTAAGAGCCTCTTGAAGCAAGATTCTGGAGCATCTAGGTGGGCAGGTGCTTTTCCGCAACCTCAGTTTGGTCGTTGTCATATTTTAAATAGGCTCTCGTTCTCCCAAGGCTGCTTTAATGGTCCGATTTGGCTATTTAAAGTTAACTATGGATTAATGTGAGTGAGGAATGTTCACTGTGATGGTCCTTCTCTCCTGCTGCGCTGCTCATAAAACAAGCCAGAGTCTGGTTTGTTGTGCTGTCTAAACCCGGATTCATGGTTTGTTTGGGAGAAACCAGCCTGGCTTTGCATGGCAACGACAAGCCAGAGTCTGCTTTGTTTTATCTACGGTGCAGCAAGAGCATTTGAGCAGTGTGTAGCAGCAGACTGGCAGTTGAAATTAAACCATGGTTTGTTTAAAACTATGGTTCAATGTAATGTGCGAACCATGCCATTGTTTCACCACTGTGGTTCTGTACAATAGAACCGGTCTTAAATCTTTTATAGATCATTTTGGTGGCTTTGTTACTTTACAATGCTGGGGTATATTCATGCAGTTTTTTTCTTTGTTACTTAACATTGGTACATCAAAATGTGTATTGCATCTTTAGTTATACCAGCAAACAAAAATCTTACATTCTCTCGTTGCTTTAGCTTGTTGGGTGTACTGGTTGCCCAAAGTATGCACGTATACACACTCTCACGGAGGAGATTTCTTAAAATGAGATTGTGAATTAGCTAGCGAAAATAAGCTCTCTAGCTCCTGCCTTTACAGCATTGGTAAAGTGTCAATGGGCAAATTTGCACAAGAGCAGCTTTGAGGCGTTCCAGTGATAATTGGGAAGAGTATTTGTCCTCACAGAGGGGATGGGGGTTGTCGTTTTTAATGAAGTACTAGCTTTTGAACAAAATCCAAGCAAGTAGGGCACTAAATACAGTCACAGGTTAAACACCCTGCCCAACTTGTACTAAATTAAACTGTTCAAACATATAGTGTTAACATTTAGCAGGTGAATTATTTTGCCACTAGAGGGTGCTATAATGCAGCTTGGAAAGTATCATTTATAAAGGGTCTTTTTTTGACCTCAAGGTAACGACTTCATAATCTGTGAACTCCTGTATGTTAAAAAAACAAACAAACAAACAAAAAAACATTCAAAGCTCCCCGCTCCTCCTAGATGCTGGTTTGGAAAAATAATTGAGTAGTGTTGATTTTGGCAACATAGTGAAAAATTCGCCTTTAGAACTTAACTCATCCGGAATCGTTGATCATGATGTGGAAGCAGACTTCTGTAGCTGAATGAACGTAGTAGTGTAGACTTGACTTTACAGAGCAAAATGCATACCACACTTGGGTCTGTACGCACCCGTCTCCTTGGGAGATCTCCAGAAGGCTAAAAGATGGGATATTAATACAATCTGTGCTACATCAATAAGTTCCTTTCAATTATACATCACTACAGAAGCAATCAGCCATTCTGTCTGGCTGCACCTGAGGGGCAGGTAACACTGCAAGGTCCATTAGGTTGGCTCGGCTGGGACCAACTACCATTCGCCTCCTCTCTCCATTGATGAAACTGTCAGCTCCAGCGGCCCTCCCTTCTGGTCATTATTATTATGTGGCATTTTGTAAGAACTGGAACCAGAAAACAAATAAAGTGTAGGACACATTTCAAAACTTGTCCTAATAAATAAAGCTACATTACAAAGTTGAAGAGTTAGCAAACTGGAACTTTAGTTTTAAATGGAGGATAAAAAAGAATTTTGCTTTAGAAGACACTGAGTAGGGGACTTTTCTTTCTTGAATCTGTTTTTTCTCACAGGGTAGACTTCTTTATACCTGGAGTTGCTGTAGTTGGTGGATTCTCAATATGTTCAAGTCCTGGTCTGCTGCAGCAAGAGGGAGTTTTGGAACTAGCAGTGAAGCAAACCACACACCCTCCTGCTCATTGGGTTCACACTCAGGTATTTATAAGCTACTTAGTGCTGTTAGTTGTCCTCATTTTTTAGTGTTGTTTTAAAAATTATTCGACTGTTTCAACTGTTATAACTCCCCTTGAGATCTTCAGGTGAATGACACTGTAAAACAATCTTTCAATAGTCTGCCCAGACTAGTATTCAAGTCAAATTTCATTTCAGTTTTGTACCTCATTGTCACGGTCTGCAGTGGGAGCTTTAAGTTCTCCTACAAAGGTTTCTTCTCCTTCAAAGGATAGGTACTTTCTCTACAAAAGCATTTCCTTTTCCTTGAATTGAAAGCTTTACCTTTTTAACGCAACCCACTTTTCAAAACTAAATTTATGCAATTGCACACACAGTTCTCCTTCCTTTGTGCATCTGGCCCAGTATGCTGGGAGTGAGGGGCCTTGGGACTGGTTTGTGAAATAGCCACCTTCAGCTTTTGTTAAAGCAAATTGGCAGGTGACCAAGGCACACAGACGTGACACAGACTTGCAAATAGTAAAAGTGCAATTCTGAAAAAAAGAAAGAAAGTTGGGACATCGGCCAGGAGAAAGGGCAGCTGTAAGCTTGTATCTGTTTTATCTGCTGCAGTATGGAAACACGGTACGGGGACGCGGGTGGCGCTCTGGGTAAAACCTCAGCGCCTAGGACTTGCCGATCGCATGGTCGGCGGTTCGAATCCCTGCGGCGGGGTGAGCTCCTGTTGTTCGGTCCCAGCTCCTGCCCACCTAGCAGTTCAAAAGCACGTCAAAGTGCAAGTAGATAAATAGGTACCGCTTTATAGCGGGAAGGTAAATGGCGTTCCGTGTGCTGCTCTGGTGCCGGTTCGCCAGAGCAGCTTCGTCACGCTCGCCACGTGACCCGGAAGTGTCTGTGGACAGCGCTGGCTCCTGGCCTCTAGAGTGAGATGAGCGCACAACCCTAGAGTCTGTCAAGACTGGCCCATACGGGCAGGGGTACCTTTACCATGGAAATACCAGAAAGTAAAGTGACTGGTGTCAAGCCGTGTGGACTCCTGTCGAACACAAGTCTCTTTAACAGAGCAAATACAAAGGTCTCTGCTGTGGTGATCTGGAGCTACACTTAACTGTGGTTATGTTTGTTTAGTTATATCATACTTGAAACATCTCTAGGCCGCTAATCGGGGCAAGCAAGGCATCTTTCATAAAAGCACGCTTCAAGAGAATGCCATTTTTTTATTTGGGGGCTTACTTTTGTGCTGTTGGAGTCGAGAAATATGCTTCTCTCTCGCTGACATTGTATTTGTTGACTAACATTTCAGTGTAAAATCAATGCCGTCTGATCACTTGAGCAAAAAGCTTCCCCGAGTGAGCCCTAATCCATCCGGTACCATGTGACCATAAAAAGTGCTCCTACTGTTCTTAAATAGGTTAGTTTCATGCGCCATTGGAATTTCAATAAAATAACTCACTTTGAAAGATGTTCTGGAGAAGTATAGAGCCAGTGTTACTGGACCACACATGCTAATACAAATCCTTGTGGAGATTTCCTATTGATTTCCCTGTTGCTCATTAGGGACCTCTCAGAACCTAACTTCATAATTATCTGCCTCTGAGGCATCTCTTAGGAGTTTTCCTTCCTTCCTTCCTTTCCCTACTTTAATTTTTTAAATTAAATTCATAGTGGCACAGCACTGAAAGCAGTTAAAGGCATTAGCTAGTTCTGGGGAGAGCATGTCAAGACACTGGGATTAATGGTGATCTAGAATTGCTGATTATTATTCAAGGTTTTTTATTATTAAAAAATCTATGTTGTATCAATTTGTAGCTTTTAAACTGGGCATCTGTATCCCTAAAATGAACACTGTCATCTGAAGAGATTGCAAACCTATGCCTTTTAACAAAAGTGTGGAATGATTATAGAGCCAATGCAACTAATCTTAGATATTTCCATTGCATATGATTCTGTGGTACGTTTTTCTTAAATTATGTAGTGAATTGTGAGATCTAAACAATAAGTGGTTTTGAATCTCTTAGTAGCAGTAAGGCATCTATCTATCATCTATCTATCTATCATCTATCTATCGTTTTATTATGCTTTTTATTGTTAACTCTTTGGGATATTTTAATTTTTTTAAGGGATGTATACTGTGCATTTGAAAATAGCTATAAAAAGAGTGGCTGGACTGGTTTAGAAATCATTGAATTGTAGACAAGGCCTAGTTTGCATGTCTAATGGGCTCTTGTCTTAATCTGAGCATATTTTATTGTGTATGCAGATAAATATATAACTATAAATTTCAAAGTACTTTTTTAATGCAAGATGTAGAAGGGCACAGTACTGTTCAGTTTTATTCCCCTTTCTGTGTGCAAGTAGAACATGTTTAGCCTCACTGATTCTCTGGGAGTGTTACCACTTCTGATGTTTTATTAGGGGGGGGAACCTTGGCATCTGAACCCCTGTGTGCAGAGTTCCAGTCATGCAACAGGGCTTTTCTCCCCGCTCCCATATGCAGTTTCCAGAATCCCTGAAAACCCCAGGGGACTTTGCAGAATGGTGTGGGTTGCAGAAGAGGTGGAAATTTATTTGCTGATGCAGGGGACGGTTCCCCAATTTCTGCTTCCACTTGTGCTATGCCTATTGAATCCCAAACCAACTACTTCAGTGCTTGAGTCCAACATGACAATATTAAATTTTCTTTTGACTTCTCCCACTTTCAGTAGTTAGAAAATGTTAAACAAGATGTTCAACAATTGTTTGGCCATATCTTTAAATACAACTTTCATATAGTTCATCTGTTTCCCCCCCCCCATGAGGTCATTCCACATAGTGCTTACTTAAAGACGTGACCCAAGTTGACCTGCGCTGTGTCAGTCCAGATTTTACTCTGCATAATTTGATTTTCCCTGCAAAGGGGGTGTGCACTTTTTTATCCCAAATCCACTCCTGTGTGTCTGTGACTGGTAACTCTTTTTGGCTAACATGTCGCCATAACAGCTGCAAAGATTGATTGATATGATTGTAAGCTAAACACTGAAATGAATGCAGGCATGCTTGTTACGTTTTTTTGGAGAGCACGGACAGCATTTCCTTTTAAAAACCCATTACCACTGCAGAATAATTTCTTCCCACTCTGTAACATTCCTCTTGGGAGCATTCATCTAAAAATACAGCTGCTCAACTCCTGGGACTTTCGAATCCCTTCCTTGCGGTCCCAAGTTCTCTGAACATCACACTGCTTTGTTTTAAGCCCGTATCATGGAATCGGAGGAAGAATGTAACCATATATCGTTATCACTTGGAGCAATCTGCCAAATGACATTCTTAACTTTGGCGAATGTGTGTATTAGAATAATCTAACTTTTTCTTCAACCGGGAGGCATGTAGGAGTGGCTTTTCGGATACTGCCCTGTCTGATTTACTTTCAAGCCCTTTAATATCTCTCTCTCTCTCTCTCTCTCTCTCTCTCTCTCTCTCTCTCTTTTCTCCCTTAGTGTACACTTGGCTCAGAGGTGGCCTTGCGAGTGGGAGGCAACTTCTTCTTTGATCCTCAACCTGCCGACGCCCCTGCAAACCTCGTGCTCGTAGCTGGCGGAGTCGGAATTAACCCCTTATTTTCTATACTGCTCCATGTCGCAGACCTTCAAAGAACTCGAGAGAACAAAGGATCTGGCTACAAAATGGGAACGGCAAATTTGTTCTATTGTGCAAAAAACACTCATGAGCTGCTCTTTAGGGTAGGTTGCATTATATTATGGTGATGGTGGTGAGCATTTGTGCCCTGCTGTTCAGCCAAAAGGCTCCCAGAGCAGCTTGCAATCAATTAAAACAAGATAGCCCCTACCTGCAGGCTTACAAACTAAAAAAAAAAGCGGGAAAGGGACAGGGACAGGGAGGAAAGAGAGGGACATGCATAACACACAAATATATATATCCATCATATGCTTTACCCCAAGATATGCTTGGGTTAGCTCTGAGACTGATTGGGTAGAGATGAGCAGAGAGAGGGGCATCCTTTGCTGAGATAGATGGTCTCAGTCTCTGCTGCCTACTCCCTTGGCAGAAGCGGTCATAGTCTGCCACTCCTCAGTCAACGCAGCTGTCAGGGAACTGCCATCAGCTCAGAGGCGAGAAATAGAAGGGCAGTTGTGTTACAGGGAGCCTCCGAAAACCTTGCGAAGCAGTTCCTCTTCCAGGGAGGAGGAAAGCCCCACCTCCAGTGGGGAAGAGGCGGAAGGACCAGAGGATGCTGGTGGGAGCCTTAACACCGCTCCTGGGCAAGCCGGACAGGAGGGAAACACGCCCTTGCCATCGCCCATCCTGTGCAGTAGTCTAAGGCGCAAAGAGGGAAGGAGAAGGCTGGGGGTAACGAAACTCTTATGTTGGGGGAGGTCCAAAAGACGACCACTCCCGGGTTCTGCTAGCGATTGAGCCAGACATGAGCTTTGGGGCTCTTCACTGTAAATAGATTGCACCAAAATAAAGCCTGTAAAAGACAGGTTGGAGTCCTGCCTGGTTACTCTCGAGCAACCGCAACAGCCATCTGACAGCAGCCATTGGAGTATGAAGGCCAGACAAGGGAGGCCACTCCAGACACAAGCTGCTGCTGCTTCTCCTCCTCCTCTAGCTGCCCTTCAGACCTTTGCTCCAGAAGCAGTGGCCTGTGGAGACGTTGAACAGATTCTGGGAGGGGCATTTCTTCCTCACTGGGCACGAGAAGTCATGTTCTCCTGCCAAGGTTTCCATCTTCCTTTTTCATCCCTGCTGCCAGGTCACATGTATGTGTTTCCTCCCTCTGCATCTGCAACTGCGCTAAGGAGGAGAAATGTTCACGAGAGGGGGGCAGAAAAAGAGTGGCCAGCTCCCAAAAGCTTATTTGTATGTTTGGATGGCATTGTAGGAAGTATTCCCCAGCTCTCTTGGGCAGTAGGAAATGAGAAAGTTCCATTATCCTTTGCTTGAACAGAGTGCTGTGCTCTTACACTCCTCTTCCAATCTGTGGGGTTGGGACTATGCATGGAAAGCATCTGCTTTGATTTATCGGGCTGTGGCTTGAGCAAATATCATTCGCATTCCAGAAACATATCCTTGGTTTGACGAACACATTTCCTGGAAGAATCACATGCAGTTTCCATGTTACCAAGCAGAGTTCCCCAATCTGTGAAAATCTTCAGCCTTACATCAAGGGTATGTACTGTACGTTAAAAGTATTCACTGCATTGTGAGTTAGCATTAAGGGGACATAACTCAATTTGATTCTCTGGCTGCCTTTTCATGTACATAATTCTGGTCAGAGACTTAATAAGGAGTCTCTGTAATCCCTGTTGTATTTCCTCAAAAGTAATTCCCATTGTTGTCAATGGGCTTTCTCCCAGGCAAGCTTACATGGGATTGCAACCTAAATGAGACTTATCTTACCCAGAGTTGGACAGCTTCTCTGCTACATTCAGTGATCTTGTCTCTCCTAATTCTCATTTACCATTTTTTCCCTACAACTTTATATTTTTCTTGGTACTAACTAACTTGATCGTGTTTCACCTTATGCCACAGCTCAAAAGTTTTGATCCCTATCTGGGGTTTACTCTTAAGGAGAACAGACCTTTGTCTTAAACAATAAATCTAGTAAGGACTGCAGTAAATTTGTAAACTGCCCCACGTAGCTGAAACAGACCTAGCTGTTGAATAATGGTGGTTTCTTCTTTTGAGTTTTTAAATAGCTTCATAATTTCCCTTATTTCTTGTGTTCTGTATTAGAAGGAAGAATATCTGCAGATGATCTAGAAAAACATATCTCCACGGATACTTTGTGGTATATCTGTGGTCCACCTGCAATGATTGAATCCATCTCCAAAGTGCTAGCAAACCTTGGTGTGACTCAAGATAAAATTTTCTTTGAAAAGTGGTGGTAGCACACAGCAGTTCTTCAGCGAAAATTAAAAAGAACGAAAATGAAGCGTGCGCACACAAACACACACACACACACACATATATATATACATATACTATAATATATACACACTGATGAATGCTGAGAGTTTGCAGAAAATGTTCTTTTCCCTTTGCCCCAATGAGATCTTTATCTATGAAATTATGTTAACTTATTATAAACCTGGCCAACCTATCTTTATAAAATGTACTGTGTTTATTTTTGTATCATGACAAACTGGTGTGTGAGAGAGTGAACTGTAACCTCTAAAAGTAAATAATATATTTCCTTACACATTTTCTGAACTTTTTATTATAACTATAATGTTTGGGACAAGAAGGGACAGACGTGGGCTGAAGGCCAAGGGGAGACTCAGACATATTGAGAGAGAACTGCACACAGGGGTAAGATCTACCTCTGACAGAGGGCTTTGTATTCCCCTCCCCTTTCTTTTTTCTTTCCCTGTTTCTTTTGTTGTTTTCTTTTTTAATGTTTATTTAGTTTTTTTATTGTATCATATGCTGAAAAGTTTCAATAATATTTTTTTAACTGCAAACACTGTGAAGTTTTGCTGCTTGTTTCCTCTCTTGACTGCTGAAGAGACAAGCCCGCTGTCTGCTTTAAAAATGGCTTGTCTTCTCAGCAGCATTGAAATAAGCAAAACTTTAGCTGCCCATTCTAGGTATTGCATGCTACTTCTTCAGTGACCTCTTAAAGCCATGGCTTTAACTCATGGGAGTTTATTGCAAGCAGCACAGGGGGTAGTGGTGAAAATACAGCTGCTGTGCATTTGTGCGTGCCAACAGTGTGTGAAGTACAACTCATGGAATCGAGCGTACTCAGATCCTGGATTCTGTGCTCATGAAATGGCCATTCTTGTGAAAAGTCTTCAGCAGTGTACCATCATAATGGAGAAGAGCATAAGAAAACCCATTACTTGGAAGGAAAATCCATTGATTTATGTGGGATTTGCTTTCAGCTGAGGTGTTCAGGGCTAAGTAACCTGGGTAAACAGGTCTGCATGCTAAGCTACCTAAGACTATCGTATCCTTATGACACTGTATAAACCAAGGGGAAAGCAGCTAATTTAAAGGCTGCTGTGTCACTTCATATCCATGGTAATTAGGAACTAATTATGTAAAATGCCTTGAGGCTACCAAAGGTGTTAAACTGATACCATGATTTGGATTATAATGCTTAAGCATAAGCCTAATTACCTTGATGAGTTTTCTGTTTCCTCTGTGTAGAATGCGATATGTCAGTGTACTACCTTTCCATGAAATGGAAGGGAACTTCTGCCTGTTGCCTGCTGTTCAGCTTTGGTGGAAAGGGGACTTTTTAAAACAGAGTTACAATCTCTGTTGGCTTTTGCTGCTTTGACAGCCTCCTGTAGCCCATCCGGCATTCAGTTGCCCCTTCACAGACACCGTGCCAAGAACTCTCCAGCCAACACACTATCAGCATGAGTCTGAAGTGGCCTATTACCTTACTCTTGCGTTACACTAAAACAGCAGCCCTGGTCATTTGACTAGTGAGTTTGCCTGGTGTGTACCGCCTCAACAAAGGAGGTAGGCTCACTAGTGCCCATTTGCGCTCCATATATTTAGATTGAGTGCCTGGAGGCTTATTCTCTTATGGAACTCCCTGTCACAAGGTTTCATAGCCACTAGCTTAAATGACTTCAAAAGAGTATTCAGAAAATTTACAGATGATCTATCTATGGTTATTAGTCATAATAACCTCCAGATTTGGAGAGTCATATGTCATTGTATACCATTATATACCTACCTCTGGACTTTACTGAGGCTTTTGCTTGGCCAGTGGGGGGAACTGGATTTGATGGACCTTTGGTCTAATTTGTTGGGTGGTCTTCTTTTTTATACATTTGGTTACAAAATGTTAGTGGTCTTTCTTGGTGTAGCTAGTTCTCGTTAAGTGCTGGAAACTGATTATTTATCCCATTTAGTTTGAAAATGTTAGAGATTCTGTGAGCACAGACTACTAAACTTACATTTGTTTGTAATGTCAGATTTTAATATTTTTAAAAGTCCATCTGCTATGTCCTGATTTTCTTCCTTATGTTACTCCTGTTAATCACTTGTGTTTCTTCAAGTCATTTGGAATGACTAATATACTTGTCGTAGGTGAAATGAATGAGATGCCAACTGGTCAGAGCAATTCACGCAGTATGATTATCACAGATAGTCCCACATAAGCCTTCTATAAATGATGACTTCAGAAAGGGAGAAGTGGACTTTTGGCATGGATTGTGGCAGCTGCTAAAGTATTAAATCGTTAAGAAATCTGACTACTGTATATTTTTATGGTATAAACATCTCTGGAATTTAGTTATTGCAGGAAAAAAATGACACCCAAGTTACGGGTCTCTAAGGAACAGGAAGATCCTGATAATTTCCATTCATTATGGTGGGTTTTTATATAGTTTAGTTTCAGGTTTACAGATATCTCTCTCCCCGTGTCACCTAAATAAATATGGCTCTCATGATTTTAGATGGTTATAATTTAATATGTTTAGGTTTTGTATACCCTGCCTTTAGTTGGCTATATTGAGTTTTTGTTACTGCTTAGTTGTCAATATGGTTCCATAATAACTAATTTTAAAACATACTTTTTTTAAAAAAAAGGGTGGGTGCAAGCACAATTGAGACATCTTCTGGACATGTTTTGTGTAACATGTCCAGCACTGCAAACATAGCCAAGGAATTGTTCTGTAGCGATGGATGTCTGATCAGAACCTTCTTCCCCAAACAAAAAAGGAATCTGCACATTAGCTGCATGCAAGCCTTGTCTGGACGCTTTGCGTAATATCACAGACGTGTCCCATTCTTTAATGTTGACCAGTCAGTCTGATCAACTTGCAGGAACTCATGGGAAGGAGGCCTTACATTGTTCCAAATTCTTTTGAGTATTGTGGTTGTTTCAATTCTCTAAGAGTTCACCAGCCAGAATGGAAACGTAATGGGGCTGATGGCAATTATTCCAGGCACTTCAAGTTGGGTTAGATTCTAGTAACAGGCCCTTTGTACGCCAAACAGTGCTGATGACTAATTTATAGCATGCAATTTAAGAACATTTTTTAAAAAATCAAACTTGAGGGTGTTGTTAAAAAAAAAAAAGTCTGCTCAAACCACCCAGCAAGAACCAGTTTAAAAACATTGGGCAAACTCATGACCTCCATGTTCCAGAAGTTCCTACCTCCTTTGGATCTAAAAAGCACATTGCAATATGAAAGATGGAATTCCGAAGTAAATTTTCAGTTCCCTCCTCCCCGCCCCCCCTTTTTTTACTTATACATTGCACCATTCCTTAGCTGCTGGCAGATTTAAATGGCAGTACTTGCTCTCCACTGCTAGGCTGTGGAAAGAGAATTTATTCTGATAGCATTAGCTCTCCTTGATTTCCAATGAGCCAGTGTGACATGTCAGTACCCCTATTTGAAAAGGGGAGAGAGGAGGAAATTGCTTGGCTCCGTGCAAGAGCATGCAGGGAGTGGAGCTCTTGTCAACTCGTATAAATATTGAGGATGCCTTTTTCTTTGAAATGCCAATTCCGATCTTTTTAAATTCTCTGAGCCGGAGGGAATTAATCTTCCTGAGAAAGGAGATTATCTATGACAGTAGCAGTGTCAAGCCTAAAGTGGAACTATAAACCAATGTTCTGTAGCCACCTCTTAATACAACTCTTTTACCTGTGATTTTAAACAGCTGAAAGAAAGGTGGAACATGATGGCTGACCCATTTGGGCTACAGTAGAACAATGGTGAAGCAGTGGGTTCCTACACAGCCCTGCTTCCTTCCAAAATGTCAACGAATACATATCCAAAAGACGCCACGCTTTTTACGGCCGATTTCTCCCCTCCTCCATCATGCCCCTACTTCTGTCAGTCCTTATATGGACTGACTACTACAGGAATAATGGCTTGTCGCTTTAATTGAGGATGTCACTCACACCTAGGAGTCTCTAAAATGTGTCGGCGAGATGACCCTAGGAACAGGCGCAGGATTCAAGGACTATTAATTGCAGAAAGGGTGTCTTCTCTTGCGAATTTCAAGCCTGCTATAGTAAGTATAAACTTAAACAACACAAGCATTTCAAATAAGGTGTTAACAACCCTATTTCATCTGTAGTATTTTCTCCGAAAGAAAAACAAGATCCCCATATAATTACAGCACTGACTTGTGTTCTCTGGGCTCCTCACTAACTAGATATTTTCCATTGATGCTTTACTTACGAATCTCTAGGGATTTCTTATGCTTCTTAATGGTCTAATAGTGTAAGCATTTTTTAAACAACTGCAGGCTACTATATAATTCATTTGATGTGAAACTTCCTTGATTGGAAAAGATGCAAGATTATTCATACAAACGAGTACCGTGACTGCTCATTTATCCTACAGGAGAATCTGATGCAAGTAAAAGCATATCACGTGTGGGAGAGCAACAGTCACCCTGACTTGATTTGAACTGGGGTTTACCAAACATGAGCTTCATCTGCGTAATAGCAAAATGCATTGATAGATCAAAAGCAAGAGCAGTATTTTCCACTTTGATGGCAAACAATGACTTGGGAATGGAGTGAATATGCCCCGCTAGTGTGAAGCAGCCTTCATTGAACCCCCAAAATGCATTTTAAGCTCCTGAAAACTAATGTGGCCTGTTTAGCATAAGAGCTGTTTTAAAGGGCAGCATCTGGTGGTGCTGTGTGCTTGCACACACCCTCATTCTGCTTCTCCCTCAATTCTCTTTAAGACTTCACACTACTTTTGCAGCTGGGGAATTTGGGCGGACGGTGCATGCCTATCTGTTGATAGCAGACTGAGTGGTGCTTGCAAAATCTTAATGTTTCTCCCAAGATACTCCTTATTTTTACCTTGGAATGCAAAAGCCACGTGCATTTTACAAGTAGGAGCAGATGGGAGATAAGGAATCCATTCCTCGCTGGTCGAGAACGTAAGTTGCATCACGGAGGTTAAAGACTCAGACCTCAGCTAGGATTAAGAAAATTGGAATCTCGCTCCCTGAGCTCTACTCCTTTTGGGTAGATAATAGCATGGCAGTTCTAACTCAATATAAGGCAACTTCCTATATCCCTAAGGGCATAAAGGAATGGAGCCTGTACGCAGTAACATAGCATAAATGCCATCAGTAGTGGGACCTTTTCAGCTATCCCCATCCTCTTTCCACCTCCCTTCATGTGCTGCTTTTAGCGCTTCAATCCTGGTTAGTTTGCACCACCTGTCATACCTGCATTGTGGTTTAATGTTGGCTTGCCAATCAAGAGCAAAGCATGGTTTAAGAGCTAGGCTGGTGAACCATAATTAAACTGTATATCCCTTTGGGGGATGCAATGGGGAATTGTAGTTCAAACAGCCCAGGATAGAAGCATCAAAGCCAGGAAATGGGCAGAGGAGCAATGGGGACTGCACTTGTTCCTGGCCTCATAAATAAGGAACTGAACTAAAAAGCCCCACCTAGATTTCTTTTATTTAAGGTACTTAATAACAGCTACACACATAGCTTCCATTTTCTGTACAATGAGGACTCTTTGACAATTATAGCAGCGGCTGACCTAAGGCAACATCCACCATGAATGGAGAGATACAGGTAGCTAAAGCCAAAGATAATATAATTACTAAGTTGAACCTTTTTCATTTTCACTAGCAGTATCTTGGCAACTACAGCAACAT